GTCCGAGTCCTCAGCACCAGCAGCAGCTCCACCAGGCGGGTCCGCAGCACCAGTAGCAGCTCCCACGTCCGGGTCCTCAGCACCAGCAGCAGCGCCACCCCCAGGGTCCGCAGCACCAGGAGCACCACTCCGAAGACTGCAGCGCCGTGTGTACCACTCGCGGATCTGCTGAATGGGGGGGAGCTCCTGGGTAGGAGGGGAAGTACCGGAACGAGCTCCAGCAGCACCTCTCCGGAGGCGGCAGTACTCGAGGTACCTCTCCTGCAGCTGCTGGGAGGAGAGGGCTCCTCCAGGTGTAGCACGCACAGGCTCAGCACCCCCAGACTCAGCACCCCCAGGCTCAGCACCTCCAGGCTCCGCACCTCCTGGCTCAGCACCCCCAGGCTCCGCACCCCCAGACTCAGCACTCCCAGGCTCAGCACCCCCAGACGCAGCACCCCTAGGCTCAGCACCTCCAGACGCAGCACCCCCAGGCTCAGCACCCCTAGCAGGACGAGAGTCGACAGCTACCTCGACAGGCTCACCCGGGTCTACCTGGGACACACCTGAGGGAGCGGCACCCTGAGGGGGGAGGGGGTCTGGTACCTCAGCACCTGGAGCGAGGAAGAGAGGCGGGGGGGGGAGCGGGGTAGTGCGGTAGGGGAAGAGGCGGTAGTAGGGGACGGACTCGTCGAAAGTGACGTCCTGAGAGGCCAGGACACGACGCGAGGTGGGGTGGTAGAACTGCCAGCCAGGGGCGTCCGGGACAAAGCCAAGGAAGACGCAGGGGACAGCACGACGGGAGAGCTTGTCCGCGGACGTGTCGCGGACAAAAGCTCGGGATCCCCAGACCCAAAAACGCGACGCATCGCCAGCCTCTCCCGTCCAACGCAGTGTCGGAGAAGTCTCGGGCAAGGAGACACGGGGCCAGAGGTTGAGCTGATGCGCAGCGTATCGGACTGCAAACGGCCACAGAAAATGGGGGGCAGCCGCATGGCTCAAGGAGGTACGAGCGACCTCCATGACCAGACCAATGCGGCGCTCAGCAACCCCATTCTGCTGTGGAGAGGCCGGAAGCGTGTACGACTGCTCAATGCCCTCTTGCTGACAGAAGGCCTCCAATAGGCCAGAGGAGAACTCCCCACCTCTGTCAGAGTGCAGACGCAGGACAGGGAAGTCGGAGCGGAAACGCTCACGGAGCTGGAGACGAGATCTGCGGATCCAAGGGATCAAGACATCAGGGACGTCACCCTTAACGCGCAAGGGGAAGACCGTGGTGTAGCGCGAGAAGTCGTCAACAACAATCAGGAAGTACCTCTCCTGACCCTGACCACGGACGCGGGCTGGGCCCCACACGTCCATGTGAAGCGTCTGCAAGGGAGCAGTCGTCGGGGGAAAGGAGGAGGAGTGAGGAGCGGCGCGCTGCCGTCCCTCGACACAGGGAATACAGGGAGGAGCAGGCGAGTCGGGAAGGGGAGGGAGCACCCTGGGAAGACCAGCAACAAGGTCCCGTTTGTGCATGGCCCGAAGGCGCTGCACAGACGGGTGACCAAGGCGGTGGTGCCAAAGGACAGTCTCATGCGCCAGAGAGCGACACGAGCAGGGGGCGGACAGCTGACTTGACGCAGACGCAGACGCAGACGCAGCTACCTGAGGGGACTCAGTGGTCAGTGTGTAAAGGTCCGACCCCGGCTCCCGAGTGAAGGTAGCCAGGTGGCGACCCGTCCGAGCACACGTGCAGTGTGTCACGCGCTCGTAGGCAGGGGTGAACTGGTGAACACCTCCGTCCTGGAGCGCACTACCTGCCACCAAGTTCGTAGAGAACGAGGGGAGGTAGAGACCTGACAGCGTGCCGGACGGGACCGCCGGACAAGGAAGGACAGTGGAGGAGGTCGCAATGACCGGACCCCCAGAGGGGTCAGCAAGGGAGACAGCAACTGGCCGAGCGAGTGGCTCAAGGACAGTGCGGTCACGAAAGAAGGAGCGAGAAGCACCTGAGTCCAGGGTGAAGGTGTGCAGTGCTGCAGTCGACTCAGTACCAGGGGGCACGGACGCACGAGCACCTAGGGCAGCGGCCTCACCAGGACCTGTGGGAGCAGACGCACTAGCACCTAGAGCGGCAGCCGGACTGGCCTGAATGCCCGGGTCGGGCGGAACACGCAAGTACTGAGCACCCTCTCCACTAATAGACATGGCATACATGGCAGTGAGAATAGCATCAAAGTCTAAAGCCCAAATATCAACACCCCTCTTTTCCAGATCAGCCCAGCGCGGCAGCTCAGTGGCAGCAGGAAACTGAGTGCGCCACGCGTCGTTAAGGCGCGCGAAGCAGCGCTGCGTGGGGTGCGGCCTCCCACACTGCTGGCCGCTGCGGTCACCTGTGCGAATGACGTACGTGCAGGTAACGCTACGCTGCGCATACCACTCACGGGCGGCCTGAAGTGTCGGGGCGGGCTGCTGACTCTGCCCTCCGCCAGTGCCTCCACGACCACCACCCCCACCGCCGCCGCCCCGGCCACCTCCACCCCTGCCGCCGCCACGACCACCTCCGCCTCCGCTGCCGCCTCCACCACCACTCCCGCCGCTGCTGTCTCCTCCCCCACTGCCGCCACTGGCCTCCTCAGCCGCGCCTCCACTCCCACCGCCTCCACCCCCACCTCCTCCGCCACCACCCCCACCCCTGCCTCCCTTGTTCCTGCGGCGCCCGCTCGAAGCAGACGCGGTCCCGACCTTCTCAGCACCAAGAAGGTCGACAGCAGCAGCAGAGGCGACAGAGGGGAGGAGGGGGGAAGGGGAACACCCCTCAAAGAACGGGGTGCGGGGGTCGCCACGAGAGGTGCCTACAGCGACGATGCTCGCCTCAGCTGCAAGCAGTTCCTTCTCGAGGAGGGCAACAGTGAGCTCAGTGGGGGAGCGAGAGAGGAAGTGGTCCCTGACTGCACGCAGAGAGTCAGGGAGGCGGGTGACGATGTGGTAGAGAGTGATCCAGAGCGGGGGGGGGTTGCTAGTGAGAAACTCGGCAGGCATAGCAGCGCGAAAGCGGGCCTCACTAGTCTTAAGGTGGGTGATGAGGTCTGCGACAGTGTGAAAGGAGGCTAGGTCGGGGAACAGGTAGGGGAGAGTGAGGCGGCCTAGCGTGGCAGAAGCGGGTGAGGAGTAGCGGGCAACTACAGCGGTGTAGAGGTCCTTAGCAGTCTTGCACTGGCCGAAGTGCTCGCGCTCGTCTAGCGGCAGGGAGTTGCGAATAGCAAAGCGAGCGTGCGCATCACGGGTCTGCCACTGGGAACGCAGAGTGCTGTCAGCAGACGAGTCAGGGGCAGTGGCATGGCCTAGGGCATGGTCGTACAGTGAGATATCTTCCTTGGCAGTGAGCTGTAGGAACAGGTGCAGGTCATCGAGCCAGGTTTCGAACTTCACTGGACGGCCCTCGGCATCGAAAGCTAGAACTGGCGGACTAGCCATAGTGACAGTAGCAGTAGCAGTAGTAGTAGGAAGCGTGGCAGCTGCAGTGGCAGCAGTGTGCGCGGTAGGTAGAAAATAAACAGCAGTGAGATCGAGTGCCTCGCGGGCAGCGGCTGCAGAGGCGCACGGGCAGCAGCGGTGCACGGGGAACGGCAGTGCACGGGCAGCGGCGGCGCACGGGCAGCGGTGGCGCTCGGGAGGCAGCGGTGCGCAAGCAGCAGCGGAAGCAGCGGCGTACGAGCGGTTGCGGGCAGCGGGGCGTCTGCGAGCAGGCGACGAGCGGCTGCGGGCGGGCGGCCGCTGCGACGGCGGGCTGCGGGCCTGCGGGGCGTGCGCGAGCGGCAGCGGCTGCTGGCCTGCGGCGCACTAGCGGTAGCGGGCGACTCACGGGCGGCGGCTGCAGAGGCGCACGGGCGGCAGCGGCTTATGCGCACGGGCAGCAGCGCCGACAGCGCACGGGCGGCTGCAGCAGCGAGCGGTGCGCAAGCAGCAGCGGCAGCAGCGCACGGGTGGCAGCGGCGTCGGTGCACGGGCGGCAGCGGCGTCGGCGGACGGGCGGCTGCGGGCAACGGGCGTGCGGCAGCTGCGGCGGCGAGCTGCGGGCCTGCGGGGCCACGGCGGGGTGCGCGCGAGCGGGCGACGGGCGGCTGCAGCAGCGGGCGCGTCAGCGAGGCGCACAGGCAGCGCGCGGGCAGCGTGCGGGGCCGTCCGTAAAGAAAAACAGCCGCGCGCGTGCGGCTAGCGGGGCGCGCGCAGCGAAATCGACCGCGCGGGGGTGGGTAGCGGGATGCGCGCGCTAAAAAAAAAAGTCGAGTCGCGCGCGGGCGGCTGGCGGGCTGCGCGCGCGCGGTAGGTAGGAGGCGCACGAGGGCGCGTAGGCGCACGAGGCGCACAGTAGGTAGGTAGGTATGTAGGTAACGGTGGGCCCTAAGAACGGTCCTAGCGAAGGACCTGCTCTGAAACCATGTCAGTAATTACAGACTGGAATGATGGACTAGCAAGGATTGTGAGTACAAATATGAAACCCTAATGTTGTGACCCCCCTGTAGGCTAACCCACTACAGCCTACACAAATACAACATGTATAATGTTTGACAGTGAGAAGTGCACGGCGCGCGTCCGGGCGATCAACGCCGTCACACGCGGCAAGCCAACCACATCCTTTGGTACCCCCACATCATCCCCTTCCCTTATCTCTTCCACCCCCCCATTTCCTTTCCCCGTTGGCAGGGGTATGGTTACATGCTCGGTGATTGTTTCTCGTTTCAGAATTTCAAATTTCGAATTTCAAACTTCTACTCCTCCTCCTAACCATTTCCATCCTTGCCAGAATTCCCGCGTCGCATGCCGAGCCTCCACTCGCTGCGACCGCTGTCGCAGGTTTGGTGGACTCTCCAATCATGGTGCGTGCATCTTCAGTCGTTGTAGCACTCTCACTAGTGGCTCTTCCCCCAAACCTTATCTCCTTTTCTATTGTCAAGTTTTCATAGCATATAAATATTGTAGCCGGGCGTCTTGCTGGCTATACGTTTCGTTTTACTGTCTAATCCCTAGAAATCATGGCGCCTGGCAAATCTAAAAACCTTGTCCCTAATTCTTTGAAAATGCACCAGACTCGAGCAACGCTTCCGCGGAAGAGCAAGGAACGGCACTTGTTCTTTCCGTCCCCCGCTGGAGGTAAGTTTCCCTTTTTCTGTTACACTAGCCTTCGATATAGTTATGTGTATAAGTAACTGTGTTTCTACTCTTCCATTTTTATATTCTGTACGTTGCAGGAACCAACACTACAAAAGAGACGGAGGAACCACCTGCTGGTCGTCACCCTACCGGACAGCATCAAAAGACTAATCATCGGAGCCTCGATGAGCTCAACGCTGCTGATGGCGCTGGAACGTCCGAGCTTTCGCCGACCACTGGTGTCACTCCGTCCCAGCCAGCCAAGGCTTCGGGCCAGCCCGCCAAGGCTTCGGGCCAGCCCGCCAAGGCTTCGGGCCAGCCCGCCAAGGCTTCGGGCCAGCCCGCCAAGGCTCCGGGCCAGCCCGCCAAGTCTCCGGGCCAGCCTGTCAAGGCTACTGCAGTCCCTGCCGACACCGCTGGTGGTTCCGAAGGCTCCGGTGACGGTGGTCATCCCCCTGCTGTCATCGAAACTATCGAAAATTGTGTCGCTGTCGTAGCGGACAAGGAACCCGCCGCTGAAAAAGGTGATTCACACCTGTGCTCACTCTTAGCCTTGCATTCCGTTGCCTGCAACCATGACTAATATTTCTGTTCCGTATTTGTTTTTGCCCACCAACAGAAAAGGCTGATGCAAGCCCGATGGAGTTAATCATGTCACGAGCGAAAGGTCGGGTGTACGCTACTCAGGCCGCAGCTTATGACGAGGAGGAGCGCGACGAACCCTTGGTGAACGACGAGCTGGTAGCCAAGGCGGGTACTCAAAAGGCGATCGCGGATACATATCGCAAGGAGAACGAGCGTAGGGCGGCGGAATTGAAAGACTGCCTCGTGCTTATCACGCACCTTGCTAAGAAGGCCTCGGAAGTTGACGCGGGCGCTCTCACCTGGGAAGTAAGCTAAATTTATTTTAGGCTGCATTCCATTTCCTCTAAGCACGTCGGATTACTAATTTCTAAAGTGTTGCTCACAGGTGTACACCAAGAAGTCTTGCGATGAGTTTCTGTACAACCGAGAGATGCTCAATCTTAGTCCCGACTCTGATGACATGCTGAAGTCGCTCATAAGTAAGGGTTTCCTGCAGTTTTGCCTGTTGTCCCTGTCAGTTTGTGGAAGCTGACTAGTGTTTTTTTTTTATGCAGGGCATTCGGGCCACACGCCAGACTCACCCGAAGGCTTGAAAGTGGCTGCAATTGCGACGTCGCAAGGCAAGCTGAGGCATGCCTGTGTGCGTTTCAATGATCGCATCGGTAAGATCTACCACCTTACCCGCGTCCACGTGTTGACTAACGAGCCCTGTGTCTTCATGGGTGAGAAGCGTAGCCTGAAGGGCCTGACTATTTACTACGAGCCCAAGGGTTTCCCCAGCATGGGCGAAGCCTATATCACCAAGAACGATTCCAGTAAGTAGGTTTCTTTTCCGCTTTCTGTAGCATCCTTGAACCAGTATCTGACCTTTTCACTGTAACCCTGCAGAGTTTTTCGGCTTACCCTGGCATGTCCTTAACGGAGTCCCGTTTTCCACCGACGGTTTTGTTCTATGTGCTGCTCTGTGGGACTCTGAGTGGGACGGGTCCCTCCCGATTGCCTTGTTTCCTGAGCAGCTTCTTGTGCTGCTGGCAGTAGTGAGTTCTCTAGTTTTACCGTTGGTGTTTTATCGTAATGTAATGCTTACACTTTTGTGGTTACTGTGTCAGGTGCGCTCCAAATCGCGCAATCCCTGCTGCAAGGCCCAGTTCACGCGTTCCGGGGATCCTGGAGCTCTTGCCAGGCAGGCACGGGTGGTGCAGCGTTGGATCAACGCCACCGAAGTTAAGCGCGATGGAGAGTGCATTGGCATCGGGAAGCTGTGCACCGTCGGTTGGACCGACATTTCTGAAGAGGAGCTAGCGGGGGATGAGCTTGGGGATCTGTCACCTGATGATCTTGTCCCGACCAGCGCTCATCGCAGGGTTTATTATCCGAACGAGGTGCAGGTAGAACTGTTCTAGGTTTAGGTAGTGTAGGTGTAGTTACTGTTGCTAGGTATAGGTGTAGGTGTAGTTATTGTATTGGTACGTGTACTATGTATGCAGCGTCTCTTTAGTAATATGTAATTTTGGGCAACGTTTCAAATGTTACTATTAAGTACTGTAATTGCGGTGTAGTCGCTTTTATTATATAATTATATATTTAGCATTCGATTAGGCCCCACTGATAACTGCACAAATGCCACCGTTACATGCACAATTGCCGCCTCAAAGATAACAATTGAATTTTATCCGATAGACCAATACACGCTGTCTTCCGCGTTATCGTTTCAATTGACCTGCATCACTTTCGCTAGAAGAACAAATTCGAACGTGACGTGGCACAAATAACGACCTCCGTTTAACATCCAGATTACAACGAACAAAGCAGTGTTTATCGAGTCGATTTTGCTGACGCGACAACCAATCGGAAGAAATTTACCGCCCACTGTCGATCAAACAACTGTCTGCATTCAGTTCGCCGAAATTATCCAAGCCAAATCTTCAGGTTTGGCAGCCAGCTGCTCGACCACTCGAAACCTTCTCGCGAGCAACAAGCTACTATACACGCAAACCAATCGCTTCATCGGGGAAAACGCCTGCAGCCGAAAACCAATCGCTTACGACTGGTTTCCAACTTGGAAACCACACCAGCTCTTTTCCCGATGCAGAATAGGCATGTCGTTTTTAGTCGATGAAAAACAAACCTGATGGTGGTGCAGCAGACGCTGGGCCCATGTCACAAGTCGAGCACAAGGAGAGGCATGCCTGACAGAGCACTTTGAAGCTGTTAGTATGATTACACAGTTCCTGTAGTCAGGCGGACATGTGATTTTCACAAATTCATTTTCTCCTCCAGGCTGGTGGTCGTGTATGTTCACACGTCTCGTGATCACTGCCCACCAAGTTGGATTGGAGAAGCAAGAATTTGGCCCTGAACTGCCTTCTGAAGCAACGTCGATCTAGTATGATGCACATCATGGACGTCGCACCCTGTGACACGACGTGCGACACACAGCTGACTAGCCACGTCAGCAGAATCACCACGCTGAGCCGCCACTGGATCTTCGCTCCTTCTGCGCTCATCATGCTGATGACCATGGATCCTCCCATTGGAAAGCAACGCGAAAAATGTAGGAATGGAAGAATATTATAGTATTGATCCTTCTTGAGAAAGTGAAGTTTGCAAGATGCTAGAGATATGTGTTTTTGAAAGCGTGAACGTCTACTTAATATCTGGAACGGATGGAGTGCAGTGCTAAGAGATACAGAGACAGACAGGAGCGAGTGTAGGAATATTAGCAGCAAAGAATCCAAGAAAAATGGCTAACGCGTGCAGAATCAGTGAGGGGAAGTTTGTGAGGGGTTGTGATGGCTGGAATGGGTTGGTCTGGTTAGTTCAGGCGAGCGTAGTCGCGAAAGCTATATTGGTTTCGAAGCATTGCGACAGTTATACCAACCTTGCAATTGTGCAGCTCGAATACTCACGAAATTCGCAAGATGGTTACCCTGCTATTCATCTGTGAGCAGAATGCTGAGGGGGCCTTGGAAGAAACATTGTGAGATGACGTGGAATATATCGAGGCGCGGGATGCCAGCATTTTGTTTCAATTTTTGGGAATCTTGCCAATCGCGCAATTCCGACGAATCAGAACAGTGGCAGACCGTTTTTTACTAACACGAACAGCACGACCTCGTGATTCCATAACGAAACAATAACACAAATACCTCCTTTGTTCATCATAAGTCAGCCGAGAAATCAAATACTTACCAGCTGGTGGGTAGAAGTAATCAAGATTCTATCCTAGAAGTCATTAACCTGAAGAATATGGCTCACTTCACTACGCTTAATGGAGACAAAGCATGTCGGCTAAATAAATCTCTCACGTGTTCATGGCAACTGCCGTTCAACGGCGACCGTGACACGAAATTCACAATCGATTCTAATACAGTCACTTTACATCCTGCTTACTGCAAGACAAACCATGGGTTTCAACATCATGCAAGGAGCACAGCTACATCACGGATTGCGCGGAGAAGACAAAAAGACAGCTGTGTAGATTGCACGGAGAAGCAGCAGCAGATGCTGTGCGAAACGAGTCTTATAAGAACCAGTGGGGGAGGAAGTTTGGCTGTGATTGCAGAGACACTAGCAGCAGAAGAAAATACCATTTTGCTGTGGCTGTTGACTTGGTGGTGGCCGTTGGATTGCCTTATTATTGGCCTGAAGGCAGAGACAACAGGAGAAGACGGGAAAATAGCAGGAAGGGAGGAGGGAGACAAGTGAGTCGGCGGAGAGTGGGGGGAAGCGAGGGAGAGGGAGGGAGGAAAAAAAGGAGCGGAAGGAAAGGCTCAACATTTGACTGCATGGCACACGGATAACTGCAATACCACAGCCTGCAAACAAACTCTGGTTTTAGCTACCCCAGCTTCCCTCCTTTTCCCCACGTCCGAGACCCACATCCCCACTAGCAGAAACCCTCACCTGCTTGATTATTTCATCCACGTCAACTACACCAGTGCTGCCCGCTGCAGCCCCTCCAGTCGCACTCATGGGCGGCATGGGCTTGGCAGGTAGCATGTGATGGTGTGCACCGGTATTACGGGGGGATGCATGGGCCACTTGATTGGGGCTCAAGGCAGGAGGTGGCGGAGAGAGGGAGGAGGACAGAGAGGCAGGGACTCCTGTGGTAGGGGATGGGGATGGGGTAGGTTGTTAGGAGACAAGGAGAGTGGGTGAGAGAGTGAGGGGGTGGAAGGCCAAGAAAGGGCAGAGGTGGTACTGCAGCATTGAGTGGGGATGTGTTGGCTGCTTGGTTGGGGTTAATAGGAAACGTTGGGGAGAGAGGATATGCATGAAGTAGAGGCTATTGATTGGGAATACAGGTGAAGTTTGGCTGGATGGAAGGAGGGAGGGAGGGAGGGAGGGAGGGAGGGAGGGAGGGAGGGAGGGAGGGAGGAAGGGAGGGAGGGAGGGAGGGAGGGAGGGAGGGAGGGAGGGAGGGAGGGAGGGAGGGAGGGAGGGAGGGAGGGAGGGAGGAGAGAAGGAGGGACAGAAATGGGCAAAGGAGGAAAAAACTTGGATGGCAAGGCTGTTAGAAGATGAGGTGGTGTGGAGAATTTCTGTAGTCCGGAAAAGAAACAGGGGAGGTTGGTTCGTAAGATAAAGAGAGAGAAACCTGACATGCAATCCCGCACAAGTCACGCACACACATGCGTAACCGTCATGCTGACTAGGCAATCCACAAAGCAAAAAAACTCACCTTGGTCTCTAGCGGGTGAGGCAGCAACAGCAGCAGAATCAGTAGTCGCTCTTTGTGCTACTTCCGCAACTCGAGCCAGCATCTCTCCCACAGGACCATGAACGGCTCGGGATACAGGAAGCGTTGCCACCACACCCCCCCCAGATCCACCTGCTCCTGCATGCCCCTGCTGCTGCCCCTGCTGCCCCTGCTGCTGCTGCTGCCCCTGCAGCTGCTGCTGATGCTGATGCTGCCGCTGCCGTTCCTGCTCCTGCTCCTGCTCCAACTGCATCTGCTTCCACTGCTGCTGCTTCTGCAGCTCCTGCTTCTGCTTCTGTTGCTTTTGAAAATCCGAAAAGTCATGAGAAAACCCTTCCCCAGATGAAGCCTTCATGACTTCATTGAAAGGAGGGGGCCGGGGGGCAGACCGCTTGGGCGAACTCGGTACATCAGAGGAGAAGGGCGCAGGAGCAAAAGGAGGGATAGGGTTGGCGTGAAACGGCCCATCTTCAGGTACAGTCGAGGCACGATCTTCGGATAATCTCCCACCGCCGCCGCCGCTGTTAACTTTAAGGCTTCCCGTCTCAGCTGCCCCTGCAGTACTCTCGCCTCCCCAGCGGGAGAATGAATAGGTAGTGGAGGAAGATGGGGAGCCGACGGGGTGGGAGGAGGCGCGGGGGGAGTGAACGGGGGAGCGAGGCAAGGCAGAGGAGTTGGGAGGGGGTAGGGGAAGCGGGGGAGAGAAGTTGGTGTGGAGGAGGTGGGGTGTGGGAAAGTGGGAGGGGGAGGAGGATGGTTCTGCTGTCCGATCGGCTGCAGCAGAGGGGCCTTGTGCAGCAAATGCCTGGGAGAAACTGAAGGAGTGGCCTTCCTGTAAGCAAGATTGGGACACGGGAAGAGGGGGTGGAAATGGGAGATGGGAGATGTTGAGTGAATCAACTGACAGATCATTGAGTCCTGGGAGTAATTAAGGAGTGGGTGCTGTGGAGAAGGCGGGAAGAGGCAAATGGTGTTTGTGGATGGAAAGAGATTGGGGAGAGGAGAGGGAGAATTGAGGAAGGTAAAGTTGGTGGTAAAAGGGGAGCGAGATGGCATAGGAAGAGGCAGTAGAGTATTGCGGGAAAGACAGTAGGAGAAGCGGGGCTGATCCTAAGTCCTAACAACGCGTTTCAACTCTCGCACCTTTGAATATAACTCCTTCACTTCCTCCCTCTAGCTGCTTTCTGCTCACACCTCCCTACCACTTGCGCTCACCCCTTCCCATCCCCCCTCTTCTCTTTTCGCTCACTCCTTCCCAACTCCCACCCCCCTCTTCCCTTTCGCTCACTCTTTCCCAATCCCCACCCCATTCTACCCCTCGCTCGCTCCTTCCCACCCCTTTCTCATCCTACCCCTTTCGCTCGCTCCTTTCCACACCTCTCCCCTCCCCAACCCTTCTCGTTCTCCACTTCCCACCCACCGTTCCGCCAGTCGACTCGTCTACGTCTGGCAAGAAAACAAACGCGGGCGCGTTCCTCTTTCCCCCTGCTGCCGGCCCCGCCATCCCCGCCGCCCCCCCCGCCCGCGCCCCCACTCCCGTCGCCGTGCCAGGCGCAACCTCCCCTGCATTAGCCGCCCTTTCACCAAGCAAGTCCGCAGCTGCTGCTGCATATGCCGGCGCTACTTCATACCCCCCTGGCCTCGGGGAAGACCCGCTGGGGGACGTTCCCTGCATTCCCCCCATCCCCCCTGCGCCTCCTACTCCCCCCGCGGCCCCCATCCCCCCTGCTGCCCCTAACCCTCCTGCGCCCCATACTCCCCCTACTCCTCCTGCGGAAGGGGAAACTGCTCGTGGGCTGGGGGATCTATGATGGCTTGACACCTCTTCCTCTGATGATACTACCCGTACCAACCCGCGATCCCCTGTTCGCCCTAAACTCGCGTCGCCACTACCCGCGCGGCTGGAAGCTCGGCTACTGCCTCTGCTGCCGGCGGAGATGGTCGGTAGCGGCAATTGGCGCGCCTCATCGCGACGCTTGTCTCGCTTCAGATTGAATTGCTCCGTGTATCCCACGTCGGATGAATCTTCGACAGTCCACGGGAGCGACGACATGCCTGGTGGCCGATGCGATGATGGCACAGGTCAAGAAACGGCTCTTGATGCTGCTGCTGATGATGATGCGGCAGGTGGCGACGATGGTACTGCTGCTTACGGAAATCGCTGGATCGGGCGCGATAAGGAAAGGGCGGGGGGGGGGGGGAACTCCAAGAGAACGGGCGCGGCTGAGCCTTTTCACGGGGATATGATCTGTGCCTTTGAATTCCACTGAGCGCGTGGGAAAACCGCATACCAAAAAAAAAAAAAAACAAACAAACAAACAAACAAACAAAGAAAAAACAAACGAGATTAGGGTTACACGTGGATGTGCACTTCGCCCACCTGAGCAGGTCCGACTCGCGATTCTAGCTTAGACCTATTAAATGTGACATACGTCAAGGAGGAGGAAAAAAAAAGAGGATAAAATAGTAACAACAATCACATGAAAGTTGAAGAAGTAACGAGTGTGAGAACGGCACGACGAAACGAATATGACCGTGCTTTCAAGTCAAGTAATTACAGCAGACCATGGAAAAGCACGAAGATGACTTTCAGGCAGCACAGGAGCTTCGTTCGCTAGCAGTGGACTGACCTTAACTTATGGACATTGGCGATTTAAAGCATGATGCTACAACCAATAAGGCGACGACAGAGAAGTGAGGGAGAGAAGCAGTGGAATCGGAGAGAGGAGAGGAATGAGGAGGGGTCGCGAGGACGCACGTAGTAAAGCGTGTAGGCCTTGGGATGGAAGCCTTCGAAGCTGCGACACGACGAGACGCAATGCGACACCGTGCGATGCGGTGCGACGCGATGCGACACTAGGCTGCGGTTTGATGAATGGTCGCAGATTAGGCTCAGCTGGCGATGGGAAAATTCTTGGTTCAGGCCAACGGACCAGAAGAGCACCGTAATTCGGGCTAGCTGCATAAAGTGGCACCTCGCACTTAACAGCTAGTCTTTCCTCTTGCCATACTTATTGCTTCATCAGCCGTGTTCAGGCCTGATAACCTGACGGAGCACGCAACGCGGAAACTCCTAGCCTTCACGTGTCAGCGAGAGGAGGAACAACTACGTCGATCAGGGAGCTTTGGGATGCATACGTGAGGTTACGCAGTTGTAGCGGAGCGGAAGGTGAGGTGATGTGATGTAAAAACAACTTCGTTTGCCCTGACAAACCGAGTTTCGGACCTGGATTAGAACGAAACCGAGTCTCACTGAACAGTGAGAATGGAGTGGGCAGGAAGAGCGGTGGTGGAGGGAGAGTAGAAGAGAAGAGCCCAAGGTACTGTGCAAAAAGAGAATCCCGAAGACACTGGGTCAAGAACTCTTGTCCACGAGAAGTCCAGTGACAGGCGGGTGGGGACCATTGAAACTCCTGGTACAGTACAGGTTTTGGTACTTGTTTCTTGATGTTTGTAAGGAATCGATTTCGTAGACTAGGCTCTCAAGCAAGAAAAACGAAACTTGTCGTCTGAAGATTCTGGATCCTTCAACAGTTACCAGCTTTCGCATTCCTGTTATTGAGCTTCTGCTTCATGGTTCCTAGAACCTGTAAGCCAACCAGCACTAGATTATTATGTCTACAAATGATTGATCCAATGCGTAACAATACTATAGAAATGAGTTTTATTAAACCATTTGTAAGCTTAGGGGCTCTTTACTGATAATTTCCTGAATCTTGTTGCTGGTTGACCTGGCATCATTTCATTTAATTTCCTGACTCCTGATCATTTCATTTCATTTCATTTCATTTTATATCGTCTACGAAACACTTTATACGCCCAATCTGTTCACCAGCCCCAAACCATCATGTTTTGTCAGGTTGCCGCTTCCAACCAAATGGCACATCTCGAAGTTCCCGCGTGACCAGTGGTTCCCCCTGACAGCCCCATTTCCAGAACCCGCGAAATCCGTCTCAACTCGGCCCAACATCCTTTCCTTCCGCCTCTCGCCGGAGTGTTTCGACCTGATCGAAGGGTTTTCACTTCGGTATTGTGCTTTTCCAGGGGTTTGAGGGGTACCTTTTTCCAACGTAGTGCACCAGATTGAACCCTTTCGATTTGGTCTGTCTGTTTCCCTCGTCAACCTTGTTCGGCCAAATTCTCCCATCACACCCATACTCTACCACCAGTCGAAGGATGACTTCTGTAACGCACAGAAACATATGTGCGCCGCACAGCACCGCACAAAACATCAGCCCCGATGGAATCCAACAATGAGAAACAGCAGAGGCAGCCATAACAGCACATCATTCCACCACAGCAGCGAGGCCGTATAGAAGTTTTCACGTTGCCGTAGCTTCGTGCATGCAATCGCGATGGCGAAGCCATCAGATGGAGGGGTCCCTTATAGATAGTATACCCGCGATTCGTCCGTTCGTCGTCGAAGCTAGTGGAGGGACGTGGCAGCGCGCCGTTCCTCCGTCAGAATGTCGTCGTCTTCGCGAGGCGACTCCGTCCCGTCTTGGCTGACGGACGTCTACAAAGATGACACATCGGTCAGTAATGCCGCGCCGCCCACGCTTCGCTCCTAGATTACACGAGGGCGATCACACTATTGGAGTTAACTAATCTCTGGCCGCATTTCCCGCAGCAGAATCCGTGCGAGAGATTGGCACAATTTAGCTTCAGTGTGGCGCGTAGGGCTCCAATACGAGCATTTCTTCGTCATTTTCAAGCAACTTCTAGGACGCTTCCTTGCATGCATTGGCTCCAATATACGTCTCGAATCCAGAAACGAATTTGTTCGCCCTGCTTATCAGGAAATACCGTGTCCTAAATTTTCTGCGTGGATGCCACGTGGCACTGGCCTCCAACCTTAAAACACGTCGGATTAAGATAGTAGTTGTATTTCTCCGGTCTAAAACACCCACTTCAGGCCTCGTTGTGTGACTTATGCCTTTTTTTCCTTGACAAGTGTTATTATCGTTAATTGATGTTTTACTGTTACGACGCTTCTCTGGTCTGGAGCTTGTAAGGTGCAATAACCCCGTTAGCAAATAACCGTTTTACGCATCGCTTAGTGGAATCGGACTTCACTATGTGCCAAGGTGATGGGCTGCAAGATCACGAGCTACTGTAATGATGGATTGCATGTTCCGACGGCTCTTCCTCCACCCCCCTCTCCTTCCCTCCTTCCGCCTCTCCCCCCCGACCACTTCCATCGTTTCCCCTCTCTCCGCCCACTGTTTTTCCGCGCTTTCCGCCCGCCTATACTTCCACCGCGCCCGTTCCTTCCGCGGCGCTCCCCCTGCACAGGGCGAGCAGCTCTACAGGCGATCGCGAAATAGGAGCTTTGTTAACGAACTTGGCTCACACTCCTGCTCTCGCCTCTCCCCTTTCCCCCCCACCCCCTTTCTTCCTTCACCTCTGCGCCACTCTCCCCTCCCTATCCGTCCCCCCCTTCCCCTCCCGCCCCCCTTTCCGCGCGCCATCCCCCCTCCCCCGCTCCCCCTCCCCCTTCCGCGCGCGCGCAGGACGAGCAGTTCCAGGCGCTCCAGGAGAAGCTGGCGGAGGCGGATGCGCAACTGCTGGCCGTCACTGCGCGATGCGGTAAGGGGGGGGAGGATGTGGGGAGAGGAATGGGGATCATAAGGGGGAAAGTGAAAACGGGGAGAGGAGGGGGGGAGGGACGGGGAGAAGAGGAGGAGAGATAGAGAAAGATGAGAGTTGGGGGAAGAGATAGGGGAGGCACCTGCTTTGTATGTTCCACCTGATCTGCTGTTCCCACCCACCCTGCCCTCCCCACCTGTTCTCCTCTCGTGCCCCGCCCTCCGCGCGCCAGGCGAGCGGAAGCGAGAGGCGCAGGAGAAGGCGCGGGAGGCACTGGAGGAGCGACTGTGGGCCCTGTGTTTCCCACCTAATCTGCCCCTCCCCCACCTGCTCTGCTCTCCCCGCGTGCCCCGCCCTTCGCGCGCCAGACGAGTGGAAGCGCAAGGCGCAGGAGAAGGCGCGGGAGTCGCTGGAGGAGCGACTGTGGGCCCTGTGTTTCCCACCTAATCTGCCCCTCCCCCACCTGCTCTTCCAGACGAGTGGAAGCGCAAGGCGCAGGAGAAGGCGCGCGAGGCGGTGCAGCTGAGCAACAAGGTGGAGGCGCTGGAGGAGCGACTGGCGGAGCTGGACGAGGAGGACGTGCCCGCGCTGGGGGGGGGGTAATGGCGGAAAGGCCAGTGCTGCATGTGGGGGGGCTGGGGTGGGGACGGGGAAGCATGAAGGAATAGGGATTGCTGTGCGCTGGAGGGGAGACTGGCGGAGCTGGACGAAGAGGACGTGCCCGCGCTGCAGGTGGGGGGGGGACGGGGGCCGGGGGGCGGGGGACGGGGAGGGGGTGAGGGGTGCGGGGAAAGGATGGGAGGACAGGGGGAAGGGCAAGGGAGAGGGAGGGAAGCTGGGAGAGTGGTTGAGTGCAGCTGAGCAACAAGGTGGAGGCGCTGGAAGAGCGACTGGCGGAGCTGGACCTGGAGGAGAACGCTCCTGAATGCGTGAATGCGTGAATGCGTGAATGCGTGAATGCGTGAATGCGTGAATGCGTGAATGCGTGAATGCGTGAATGCGTGAATGCGTGAATGCGTGAATGCGTGAATGCGTGAATGCGTGAATGCGTGAATGCGTGAATGCGTGAATGCGTGAATGCGTGAATGCGTGAATGCGTGAATGCGTGAATGCGTGAATGCGTGAATGCGTGAATGCGTGAATGCGTGAATGCGTGAATGCGTGAATGCGTGAATGCGTGAATGCGTGAATGCGTGAATGCGTGAATGCGTGAATGCGTGAATGCGTGAATGCGTGAATGCCTGAATGCCTGAATGCCTGAATGCCTGAATGCCTGAATGCCTGAATGCCTGAATGCTTGAATGCCTGAATGCCTGAAGGAAGCAGGCGATTGTTTAGACACGTTATGCATATGCTCCATCCTTCCCCCCCCTCCCCGCTCTTTCCCCGCCACCTCTTTACCCACCGCTGCCGATGCTGATCCCAAATGGAGGTGCTTGGGCTGCAAGGAGAAGCTGGCACGATCAGAGGCCCTTCGCTTGCACACTCTCACACGGTTACCCTCTCCATCCCTTCTTTCTTTCTCCGCCCCCATTACCCACCGCTGCTGCTGGTGTTCTCAGATGGAGGTGACTCGGTTGCGGGAGGAATTGGCTCGGTCAGAGGCCCTTCGCTTCGACCTGCACAGGCAGTTCCAGGCGCCTGACATGTCGCCCACGTCCTCCCGCCACCCCAGCGCAGGTGGGTGATTGGGGAGGGGCGCATGGGGAGGTGAGGGAGGGGGGCATGGGGAGGTGAGGGAGGGGGGGCGTGGGGAGGTGAGGGAGGGGGTCATTTGGAGGTGAGGGAGGGGGGCATGGGGTTGTTTTCCTACCCTGCAGTCTCCATTGGGCCAAACGATGCCGCCCGCCCACCCACCCACCCACCCACCCACCCATCCGTCCTATGTCTCCGACCGTGCCTGTTCTCCCACCTCTCTCACATCTTCCACCTGCCCTGGAGTCACGAGGGCACCAAACGATACCCCCCTCCCTCCCTCCCTCCCTCCCTCCCTCCCTCCCTCCCTCCCTCCCTCCCTCCCTCCCTCCCTCCCTCCCTCCCACCCACCCACCCACGCACCCAACCCCCCATCATATGTATCCGACCCGTGCCTCTTCCCCTGCCTCTCTCGCGTCCCTGCCACCCGCGCTGCAGTCACTCGCGGCCCGGACGGATTCTCTCTGGAGCGCATGGACGAATCAGAGGCCGACAGCTGGATGCGGGACCCACCGGGGTGAGTCTGAAGGCGGGCGGGTTACGAGGAAGGAGGAGCGGGGAAGGGGTTGGCTGGTCACACCTCTGTGAGGTGCCTCAAAGAGGTGATTACGGGATCCACCAGCGGGGTGAGATAGATAAATGGTGTCTCTGGGAGTTGGCTTGGCGGCCACTGGGAGTTCTCTGCTGGGAATGAGCGGATTAGGAGCGTTCTCCCTCTCTCGCCCTTCACTTTTCCGTCCTCCCTCTCCTCTCCCCCACCCACAATCCTTTTGCTTCGCATGGGCTCGGGGCGGTCAGCAGTAGTGGAACTGATGGCCATTGCCACAGATGAAGAGGAGGAGGACGACGAGGAGGAGGAGGCAGGGACACTCATTCTAGGAGCCTTTTCCCCCCTCGATTTCTCCTCTCTTTCCTCTCTCCCATCCCATCTTTTGCCGTGCAGGGGTTCGGGGCGGTCAGCAGCAGTGGATCTCATGGCAATCGCTACAGATGAGGAGGAAGAGGACGATGAAGAGGAGGAGGGGGGGAGGGGGAAGGGAGGCATGGCAGGAGCAGTGGGTGTGGGAAGAGAAGGGAACAAGGTGAGTGGATGGGAGAGGGCGTGTGGAGTAGTGCAGTGCAGTGCGATGCAGTACAGTGCGTTGCGATCCTGTGTGGTAGCATGCAGTTCACTGCAGTGGGTTCGTGCAGACTTTCCTAAACATAGGAAAGGCCCCCTCTTATGTGCTGCCTTGTCCCCATTCCTTCCCTTCCTGCTCTTCCACCTTTCCCCCATCCCGATCCCTTCCTCTGTCTCTCCTCTCCTCTTTCCCCTTTCTCCCCCTGCTTTCTCCCCACCACCTCCCCCATCAACTTTCCCTTTTCTTCCCCAGCGCCCCTTCAGCACTGGTCCTGCCAGCAGCGACGGCGGGGACAGCGGATTTGTGCAGACCCTTCTAGACATGGGGGAAGCATCGTCCTACGTGCAGCGCTCGCCTGCTCCAGAAGCAGCATCTCAGCAGATGAACCAAGCCGTTGGGGGGGGAATGGAGAAGCTGGTGCAGCAATTGCGAGAGTCGGAGAGAAGGAGGAAGGAGCTGGAGGGAGAGGTGGAGAGAGTGAGGGAGGAGGTGGGGAGGCTGGGGAGGGAGTTGGGGGAGGTGAAGGGGAGGGAGGAGGAGGCGAGGAGGGAGGCGGAGGGGAGGGAGGAGGGGTGGAGGGAGGAGAGGAGGGAGATGGTGGAGAAGTTGCAGGCAGCTGAAGGCGCTCTGAGGGAGGCTCATGTGAGGAGTGATGGGGGTGGGGAAATGGGGGGGGGAATGAGGGGGAAATGGGGGGGGGAATGAGGGGGAAATGGGGGGGGAATGAGGGGGAAATGGGGGCAGGGAATGGGGGATGCGGAATGGAATGTGGGGGTATGGGTGTGCCTGTGCGTGTGGTTGGAGATGGTGGAGGAGATACAGGCAGCGGAAGGTGCTCTGAGGGAGGCTACTTTGAGAAGGGCGGGGGGCGGGAGATGGGGGGGAAATGGGGGAAGCAAAGTGGAATGTGGGGGATGGGTGTGATTTGCACCCCCTTGAATTCATCTGTACCCATCTGAACCTGTTTGTGCCGTTTTTTGTGTGCAGGCTGCAAGGGCGGAGCAGGAGGAGCGGGTGAGGGTGCTGGAGGTGAAGCTGAGGGCAGCAGAGGAGACCCCATTTGAACCTATTCGAATGATTTTGAACCCCTTCGAGCCCATTGGAACCTGTTTGAACCTCCTGATTGCGCTGTTTTTGCGTGCAGGCTGCAAGGCCGGAGCAGGAGGAGCGGGTGAGAGTGCTGGAGGTGAAGCTGAGAGCAGCAGAGGAGGACGGTCATGTGCTCAAGAGTGCGATGCAGGAGATGAGTGCGGGCTCGCACGGGGAGCAGCAGACGCTCAGTGTCTTGCAGGGGCAGGTCAACGCCTTGCAGGTAATCCTCTACTGCCTGGGTGCAGTGCGTTTGAGAGCAGTAGAGGGAGATCAGGAGACGGGCATGTGTTCAAGAGTGCGATGCAGGAGATGAGTGCGGGCTCGCACGGGGAGCAGCACACACTCAGCGTCTTACAGGGGCAGGTCAACGCCTTGCAGGTAATCAATCTCCTCCCTCCCTGGGTGCAGTGCGGTAAGTAGTGGTAAAGGACGATGGGAGGACGGGCATGTGCTCAAGAGCGCGAGTGGAGGGCAGACATAGGAGTGCAGTCGTCCCTATCTTCCTCTCCAGACCCCATCTCCTCCCTCCAGCCTCCAATCCCTCCAAATTCCCCAAATCCCCGTTTCCTCCCCCTGAATCCCCCCGTATGCCCTTCCGCTTCCTCTCCTTTGTCACCCACACTGCCTCCTTTCCCCCAGACCCAGTTAGTACGGGAGAGGGAGCGGGCAGCAGAGGAAGCAGAGGAGCTGACGCAGGAGATGGCGGAGCTGCGCTTTCAGCTCATGGAGCAGGTGGACGCCGAGAGGGGGCTCCGTGCTGAGACGGAAGCGGCTTCGTTGAGACGCGTGCAGGAGCTGGAGGCAATGGTGAGTGGTTGCGGGGGGTGGTGGGTGGTGGGGGGGAGTGGGTCATGGTGGGGGGAACATTGTGAGTGGTGGTGCGCTCTGCAGCAGCGTATGCAGAGTGCACTGATTTTGCGGTTTGTTGGAGCTGCGCTTTCAGATGTACGAGACTCCTCTCCACCGCTTTACACCCCTTTCTACCATTCAAATTACTACAAATTTTCACACCTTTCCACCCGTTTCCACCTCTTTCTACCAGGCACTAGCAGCCAATGATGCGAAGCTCCAGGCAATGGCTGCTAAGGCGGACGCAGAGAGAAAGATAGAAGCCAAGGAATTGGCTCTTATGCAGAGAATCGAAGCAGCTGATAAGAGGGACAAGAAGGTCGGGGAGATGGAGAGGGAGATGGAGGAGAGGAGGAAGGAGGTGGAGGAGAAGGGGAGGGAGGCGGACGAGGAGAGGAGGAAGGCGGAGAAGGAAAGGGTTGAGAGTGAGGAGAGAGTGAGGGAAGCGGAGGGGAGGGTGAAGGAGGCGGAGGAGAGAGTGAGAGAGGCGGAGGGGAGAGTGAGGGAGGCCGAAGGGAGTGTGCGAGAAGCGGAAGGGCGTAGGGAGGAAGCAGAGAAGCAAGCCGCGAGGATGGAAGAGCAAGTGAGGGAGTGGGAAGAGAGGGTGAAAGGGCTTGAAAAGGAGAAGAAGGAAGCAGAAAGTTCTCTGGATGATGCTGAGGATAGAGCAGCGGATATAGAAGGGCAGTTCCTGGTTATGCAGAGTAGAGTGAGGGATTTGGAAGGGAAGTTGAGACAGCAGAGTGTTGAGTCTGAAGCTGTTTGCAAGGAGCTTAGGGAGGAGATGAAGAGACGGGAAGAGGAAGGGGAGGGGGTGCGGAAGGGACGGGATGAGGCGAGGAGGAGAGTGGGGGAGCTGGAGAGGGGTGTGGAGGAGGGGAGGAGGAAGGCGGAGGAGTGGGAGAGGAGAGTGAGGGAGAAGGAGGGGAGGATTCAGGAGCTGGAGTCGGAGGTTATGAGGGGTAGGAGGCGGTTGGAAGAGATGGAGATGGAAACTAAGGGAGCGAGGGAGGTGGGAGAGAGTGTGAAGAGGAGGTGGGAGGAGAGTGAGGTGGAAGTGCAGAGGAAGGAGAGAGAGAGGGAGGAGGAGGCGAGGAGAGTGAGGGAGTTGGAGGAGAGAGTGAGAGAGAGAGGGGAGAGAGTGAGGGAGTTGGAGGAGAGAGTGAGGGAGGGAGAGAAGAGAGTGAGTGAGCTGGAAGGGAAGTTGAGAGCAGAGGAAGAGAGAATGAGGGAGATGCAGAAAGAAGGGGGTGCATGGAAGGAGAGAGAGAAGGAGATGGAGGTTAAGGTAAGAGAAGCAGAGGAGAAGGCAGGAGCAGCAGAAGCGAAGGCGGTCAAAGCAGAGGAGAAGGTAGGAGAGAGTAAAAAGGCAATGGAAGAAATGGAAAAGGAAGTGAAGATGGTTAGAGACCTAGAGGACGAAGCAAGGAAGTGGGTAGAGGAAGTAGAGGGAGAGTGTAAGAGACGAACAGAGGAGGTGGAGGAGGAGATGAAGAGGAGAGTTGAAGAGCTTGAGAGGAAGCTGAAGGAGAGTGGGAGTGTGGCTGGGAGTGCAGAGGAGAAGAGCAAGAGAGTTGCTGAGCTAGAAAAGGAGATTGAAGAGGCGGAGAAACTGGTTAAGGATCTAGAGGAGGCGGTAGATGAAGGGAAGTTGAAGGTTAAGGCATTGGAAGGGCAGGTGGAGGAGAGGGAGAGGGTGATCAAGGAGTTGGAACGAGGGGTGGAGGATGGGATGAGGAAGATTGTTCGGCAGGTGGAGGAGAGGGAGAGGATGATGGAAGAAATCAAGAAGAAGTTAGAGGAGAGGGATAGGGTGATTGGAGATTTGGAGCGGGCAGTTGGGGAGAAGGAGAGGGAGTTGGATCTGCAGAGGAACCAGAAGCTCCCTGAGTTGGTTGCTGAGTGGAAGGAGAGAGTGAGGGAGGCGGAGGAGAGGGTGGAGGGTGAGAAGAGCCGAGCCAAGGCTGCCGAGGCGGAGGGGAAGGCTCGGTGGGAGGAGGAACGGCGGTCGTGGAAGAGGAGGGTGGAGGAGGCCGAGACGCACTTGCTGGAGGCTCGGGAGGAGGTTCGGGTGGCGCAGCAGGAGGTTCGGGAGAAGGTTGGGGAGCTGGAGGAAGTTGCTAGGAAGCTGGCGGAGGAGGTTCGGCAGAAAGTGGAGAGGGAAAAGAAGGTTATTGTTTTGGAAGGGAAGGTTGATGAGAAAGAGAGAAAGATGGGGGAGTTGGAAAAAGAGATGGAGGAGAGGTGGAAGGAAATGGAGGGAAAGTATTTAAGCAAGGTTGATGAGTTGCGAGCGCTGGAGGAGAAGCGGAAGGAGGTAGAGGGGGGGCTTAAAACGAGGATAGGGAGTTTGGAGGAGGAGGTTGGGAAGATGAGGAGGAGAGTGGAGGAGGAGGAGGGGAGGGTGGCCGAATTGGAGGAGAGGAGGAGGTGGCTTGAGAGGAGAGAAGAGGATTTGGGAGAGAGAGTGAGGGAGTTGGAAGGGGAGGTTGAGGAGGTGAAGAGAGGGAGGGATGCTACGCAGAAGCAGAAGCAGGAGATTGAGGAAAGGGAGAAGGAGAGTGAGAAGAGAGTGTGTGGGCTGATTGAGAAACTAGAGGCGAAGGAAGGGGTGCTGGTCGGTTTGAGGGAGTCTGTAGAGGAGAAGAGGAGGGAGGTTGAAGAGAGGAGGAGGGAAGTGGAGGGAGTGAGGGAGGAGGTGAGGAGAGTGAGGGTGGAGCGGGAGGAGGAGGAGAAGGGGAGGGTGAAGGCAGAGGGGGAGCGAGAGGAAGTGAGGAGGAAGCTTCAGGGTGTGGAGAAGGAGCTTGAAGCAATCAGGGCCAAGGTACGTTCACTGAGTGTTGCCATCACCATCACCATCACCATCACCACCATCACCATCACCGTTTCCCATCATTAATGAGTGAGACACTTTTGAGTGATTCACTTCTGCAAGATCCTACAGAGAGAAAAAAGGGAAGGACGTGAGGCGGAGCCTACATGGCGCTCTGGCTGCCAGTGCCAAGGCCATACCCTACCTGTCCTCTTCCCTCCGCAACCCCCTGCTCCCCGTCCCATAGGTGTGTGACCTGGCAGCGGAAAAGGATCTTCTGAGCGGGAGGGGGAGGACGTGAGGAGAAGGCTTCTTTTACCAGACATACCCTCTCCCCCACTTTTCACCCCCCACCCCCTCATAATCTGTCACCCATAGGTGCGTGAACTGGCAATGGAAAAGGACCGGCTGGAGAGGGAGGGGGAGGACGTGCGGCGCAGCCTGCACGATGCTGTGGCTGCCAGTGCGAAGCTGGCTGCTGCACTGGATAAGACGGAGGGGAAGCTGGTGGCACTGGAAGAGAAGAGTGCGGAGGTGAGAGTGAGGATGGGGGATGAGGAGAGGAGAGGGGAGGACAGGAAAGAAGAGGACAGGAAAGGGGATGACAACAGGAGAGGGGAGAACAGGAATGCGGAGGAGGCACCTCTAACATGGTTGTTCAAGTGGTCCTGAAGCTTCCTCCACAGTGCCGATTGCGTTGACTTGGTTGCGCAAGTTTGCACGCTTGCTTTGCTTGCTTGCTTGCTTCTTATGCGGATTGTCCTTCCTCTTTCATGTGTGTGTGTGTCCAGGAGAAGAAGCAGATGGAGGCATCACACAAGGAGCAGGTGGAGAAGCTTCAACAGCAACTGCAGGTACGTCTGCTTGCTTGCCTAACCACCGTTTGAGGCGCCTCAAAAGACAACTGCAGGTACGTCTGCTTGCTTGCCTATCCACCTTCCTACTCAGTCACAAGGGCTTTTGCCTCGTTCGCTCTGCCACCACCTTCGCCCCACGTTATTCCTTGCCTCCAATGCTACATTCTCAAAAACACCCTGCGTTGTCCCTTGCCTCCGTACCCCACCCATATTACCCTCCTCTTTCTCCCTATTCAGATCTTCCTCGTCTCTCTCCTCTCTTCTCTCTCCTTGTACGTCTCTGTCCCTCCTCTCCCTTCCCCATCCAGTCCACCCAGCAGTCACTGGAGAGCACGTCTAGGCGTCACCAGGAGACAGCAGGCGAGCTGAGGCTCCTTCTTTTACCCACCACCACCCGATTAACCCCTCCGCTTCTCCCATCGTCTCCCTTTTCTCCTCTCTCCACAGTCCACCCAGCAGTCGCTAGAGAGCATGACTAGGCGTCACCAGGAGACAGCAGGCGAGCTGAGAGGAGCATTGAAGGAGCTGGACCGGGTAGAAGGGCTGCTGGGGAGCACACAGGGGCAGCTGGAGGAGAGCCAGGGGCAGCTGAGAAAAGCTGAGGGGCAGCTGGAAGAGACGCGGGAACGGTTGGCGGAGACTGAGGGGAGGCTGGGGGAGCGGGAGGAGGAGTTGAGGAGGAGTGGAGAGCGGTTGGAGGAGGTTGAAGAGCAGCTGGCTAGCTCAAGGGACGAGCTGAAGGTGTGTGTATGCTTGAGTGTGTGTGACTCTCTCTGTCCCTGTGTTTGCCGACAACACTACCAACTCGCCACACGCACTGTCCTCTACAACCATTTTCAATTCCCATCCTCCGTTCCCCTCTCCCCCCCCCTCCTGCACGCACCCCTCTAACGCCAGTCCACCAATGAGAGCTTGACAGCTGTCAGGGGGGAGAAGCAGCAGCTGGAGGCCAGGCTGGCAGAGACAGAGCGCCAGAGTGAGGAACTTGCGGGGAAGCTTCGTGCGCTGGAGGCTGACCTGGCGGAGCGGCGCGCTGAGCTTGCGCTGGCGAATCAGGAGCTGTCGCTGCGCGCGGGGCAGATTGCTGAGCTGACGTCACAGCTGAACCTGGCTACTGTTGCTCTGAAGGTAAGTAAAACTGTAGGTTTGAAACAGGTAGAGTTTTATGGTCACCATTGTGTAGGTTTATATGGGGTATGGGTTGAATTCTGGTTTAGTTATACACCACTAACTTTGCTGACGTTACAGCTGAACCATGCTACTGTTGCCCCTCGTTTCCTGCCTCCCTCGTTTTCGTTTCCTTTGTGCGCCACCATCACTACCCCACCCGCCACTACCAGGAAGCAAGGGACCGCATTCGCATGCTGGAGGTGGTGCTGACGGTGAAGGAGGAGGAGCTGAAGAAGCTGGAGGAGATGCGCAGGGAGGCGGGCGAGCAGGCCAAGCGGATGATCGCTGCCAGGGACAACCAGGTGGGTAAAAAGTGATGCAGGTGTAACCAGGTGGGTAAAAAGTGATGCAGGTGTAACCAGGTGGGTAAAAAGTGATGCAGGTGTAACCAGGTGGACCCACTGGTGGCGTGAGGGGGTGAGAATGGGTGTGGTTGTGTAGGGATGGGTGTGAGGGATTGGATGTGAGGAGGTGGGGGTAAGAGGTTGGCTGTCTCGCTATAGAAGCTGGACTTTTGAGACACCTCAACAGAAGCTGGAGGAGATGCGCAGGGAGGCGGCCGAGCAGGCCAAGAGGATGGTTGCTGCACAGGACAACCAGGTGGGTTGTATTATGGCTGATTGATGTATAAACTATGAGTTGAGGCTGGAAGTTTCCCTGATTCCCCAACTTCTCCCCTCCTTTCTCCCACTCCCCGTCTCCTCGTACTTTCAGATTCCTCTACTTGCAGTGTGTCTCTACAAGCCAAAACCACCAATTTCTCTCTCCCCTTCTGTCTCGCATTCCCTGACTTCTCCCCTCCCTTGAATCTGTTTTCCAATCTCCCCATCCCCTCATGCTTTCAGATCACTCAGCTAGCAGCGTCACTACGAGCAGAGACTGCCAACCTGGAGGAGACTTTGAGGAGGTAAGCACACCGCTGCACCACTCAGCACCGCTTGTCACCGCTTTGCACCGGTTCTACTCGCTCCTGCACCACTCCGCACCGCACTTCGCACCCACATCACCACAACATTCTTCGTGCTGCAATGCACACTGTGTGATTAATACATACAGCAATGTGGTGTGCAACACTGCTGCCCTTTAACTCTGCTTGCTGCACACACAACAGCACCACCAAATTCTGTGCAAGAAAGCTTCTTTCCTCTATTTTTGTAGGTTCACCTGTCTGCACTACCCTCCATCCTCCCCCCTCCCCACTCCCCATTCGTTTCCCCCATCGCCCCCCTTTCCCTCTCTCCCCTCCCCCCCTTCCCCCCACCCTGTGTTAAATCCAGAGTGGAAGGATTGGAAGGAGAGAAGCAGCTGCTGGAGGTGGCATTGCTGGAAGCACAGGGGCAGGCAGAGGCGATGGAGAGAGAGAGAGAGAGGGACGATAATGTATGCCCACCTTTTTTCCCATGCTCCCTCTTCTCCCTGCTCCCTCCTCCCTTCCTTTTGCGTATCATAATCCAGAGTGGAAGGGTTGGAAGGAGAGAAGCAGCTACTAGAAGTGGCATTGCTGGAAGCCCAGGGGCAGGCGGAGGCAATGGAGAGGGAGAGGGACGACGCACGTGCCGATGCGGCTAAGAGGCGGGCTGGATGGGCCATGCCCACCCCCGGCTCTAATAACCTCAAGCCGTCCGCTATCAAGGCGAGGCAGAAGCAGTGAAGGGAGTGAGGTGTGGGGATGCTAGCAAGAGGTGGGTCAAGTGAGGGGCTGGATGGGCTATGCCCACCCCCGGCTCGAATAACCTCAAGCCGTCCGCTATCAAGGCGAGGCAGAAGCAGTGACTGGGGTTGGGTGGGGCTTGCATTGCTGATGCACATGCTGATGCGGTTAAGAGACAGGCCGGGGGGATTACTAACACCCCGGATTAGAGACGTACTAACAACATCAAGCCATCGGCTATCAAGGCCAGGCAGGCACGCATTGGAAACTTGTCCCGTTTCTTGCTGACGCTTCCATTGGATTGGAGACTTGGTGGTTGGTCAATGGTTGTTACCCAGCAGCAGTTTCTGCTCTCTGCTCTCTGCTCTCTGTGGCCTCCACACCACAGTCCACTGCTCTTGGAGGAGTGTGTCCAAGTAGTGAGGCGCCTCAAAAGGTGCGTCCAAATTTGCTGCTACGAGCTGGAATTGCTCTCATCAGAGACTGGCCGTTTGCAGTCTTTGCTCCAAGCGGTGCCATAGTGAACTTTTTTACGAGACAGGTTACCAGTAGAGTAATACATACGGCACTGTAGATTTTGGTGTATTATTGATATGTAGTATGGTAGCTTGTTTGTGGAACGCACACATATGGTAGGGTAGGCTCTTTACAGTCTTACAAATGCACAAAGCATGTTATCACACATAATAAAAAATGGGCTACACACAACAATAGCACACAAAAAACTTAACTAATTCTACCCATAGAGTGATTATTCCCCTTCCCAACCTAATAACAAACATAGGATGCCCAAGCCTAAGCTATGAAACCCCTCCTCCCCTCCCTTTTCCCTCCTTTTCCCTGCACTTGCTTCCATGCACCTGCTTCCCAGATCATCCCACTCACTCACACATCTCTCGAGTCGACTCAGGAGTCACACAGGGCTCATACCATTCATGCATCTCCTGAGTCAACTCAGCAGTCACCCAGACTCATCCCACTCATGCCACTCACAGCCGCACACCCAGATGGATCAGGTCAAGTTCCATTGGCCTCTCGTACAGTCTGATCCGTTAAATGGATAGTCAGCCCATCCCCGCCTCTTCCGTTCACCTGATAGGCAGGTGAACCAAGCATCTCCAGCCGCTACTGCTGCACCTCCAGCTTTATCAGGTCAAGTTTCCTTGGCCTCCTGTAGAGTCTGAGCAGCAGAGACGAGCACACCACACTCACAGAGGATAGGGCCATTGCTGCACCGGCAACCCACGGGGGGAGGCGGAACCGGAGGGCGGTTGGGAAGAGTACCCCCGCCGCGATGGGAATACCCGTGACGTTATACCCGAACGCCCAGACGTAGTTCAATCTGATCCGTCGAAGCGCGGTCCGCGCGAGATCAATGGCTGTCGCGACGTCCTCCAGACACGAGCGCATGAGAACAATATCCGCAGCCTCTATCGCAATATCCGTCCCCGCCCCAATCGCAATCCCCACATCAGCGGCTACCAGCGCAGGAGAATCGTTCACCCCGTCCCCCACCATCGCCACCTGCTTCCCCTCCCCCTGCACCTTCCTCACAAACGCGGCTTTATCCGCGGGTAACGCCTCTGCTACCACATCGTCTCCCTCTATCCCCACCGCTCGCCCCACAGCCCTGCCAGAACCCCAGTTGTCTCCCGTAACCATGACTGTGCGCATGCCCATGGATTGGAGAATCTCCACTACGGATGCTGCTTCGGGTTTGACTGGGTCGGAGACAGAGACGCCGCCTATCACGTGGCCGTCGAGGGCTATTAGCACGTCGGTTTCCGCGCCTGCTTCGGTTTCGGCAAGCCATTCGAGGACGCCGCGGGGGAGAGGAGGGGGGGAGAGGTCTGCGGTGGTGCTGGTGTTGCTGCTGTTGGCGGTGGCAGTAGTGGCAGTAGGGGCAGCATCAGTGACAGTGCCCATAATTTCCTCCTGTGATCCTCCCTCCACTTCATCAGTCGACGCCGGTGCGTTGCACATGACAACACTCCTAAGCCGCATGAGCTTCAGATTCCCCACAGCCACGTGGCGCCCGTTGATTCGGCACACCACGCCGTGCCCTGCTATTGCCTCGAAATCCTCCGCAGGAGGGAGAGTATGCAGAAGCTTCTTGGAAGGAGAGGCGTCGTGAGAAGAAATGGCACCGGTGGCAGTGGCAGTGGCAGTGGCAGTGGCAGCGGCAGTGGCGGTGGCGGTGGTATCAATAGCAGTTGCAAGGGGGGAGGCGGTTGGGTGATTGGGTGTTGAGGTAAGAGTTGAGTTAGAAGACGGTGGGGATGTGCAATGATGGGGGGAAGGATGGAGGGAGGACAGGGGAGAGGGGGAGTAGTGGTCGAGAGGTGAAGAGTGCGGGAGAAGGGATGGGGAGTGTTGGGGAGGGGAGGTGGAGGAGGGGAGGGGGAAGGAGAAGGGGAGAGCATTAGGAGAGTCGGGAGAGGAGGAAGGTGGGGAGGAGGAGGGTGGGGAGGAGGAGGGGAAGGGAATGTGGGAGAGGTTGGGGAAGGTCTTGGGCATGTGCGGGGAGGAGAGGCAATAGTCGACTATAGCCTTGGCTAAAGGATGCTCGCTGCTCACCTGGAAGAGGGAAATGGGGAGGGAGGGGCGGAAGGGAGAGAGGGAGAAGGGAGGCAAGGGTCTTTGGCATGTGCGGGGAGGAGAGGCAGTGGTCGACTATAGCCTTTGCCAAAGGATGCTCGCTGCTCACCTGTAATGGGGGGGGAACGGGGAAGGTGGGACAAGGGAATGGGGAGGGTTTGGGTGCTTTTGGGGCGATGGGGGGTGTTTATGTGTGTGCCTGCATGCCTCCAAGGTGACTTGTGAGTCGACTCAAAAGTCACCAAAAGTCACCTTGGGTGTTTGTGTAAGTGCGTGTGCCTGCATGCCTCCATACATCAGCAGCAGACAGGATAGCTAGCAGCTCAGACTGAGAAATGGGTGCTAGCTATCCTGTCTGAGGTGTCGATGAGGCTGGACATCCCCTTTCCCCCACTTCCTTCCCCACACCCCGTTTCCCCCACTCCTTAAGTCAGTTTTACTCAGCTCCTGACCGCTCAATATCTCCCACACATGTCCATACCCCAGCAGCAGCCAGGAAAACGAGCAACTCTGACTGCGAGACGAGCGCGTGCATGGTGTGCATGTGTGCACGCATGCCTGTGTGAGAGATGTGTGCTTGTGTGTGTGTATGCCTACCTCAGCAGCAGCCAGTACAGCCAGCAGCTCTGACTGCGAAATCCGGGAGGAGAAGAGAGTGCAGGAAGTGACGCTGGGTCTGCCCTGGGTGAGAGTGCCCGTCTTGTCAAACACAACGGTTTCAATCTGAGAGCGGGGACAGACAAGCATAGCAAAGAAGAGGGTGAAAAGGAGGGGGGAATGGGGAGTTGCAGAGCGAGGGTGAGAAGAGAGAGTGCAGGAGGTGACGCTGGGCCTGCCCTGGGTGAGGGTCCCTGTCTTGTCAAACACCACTGTCTCGATCTGAGAGAGGGGACAGACATACACACACACACATCAAGAGGAGAGGTTACAGCATTACACAGTGAGACGAGGAGACGAGAGGTGCAAGAATAAGTAACGCAAAGCCCTTCCCATGTGCCTATAGAAAGGTGATTGAGCCTGTCACACTCGAGTTTATTTTCCGCTCACCTTGTGCGCTCTCTCTAACGCGTCAGCTCCCTTGATGAGAATCCCCTTCTGTTATCCCCTTCCCTCCTCACTACACACCCACGCCCATTCCCTTCTCACCTTGTGCGCTCTCTCCAGAGAATCAGCGCCCTTGATCAGAATCCCCTGCTGTGCGCCGATTCCCGTCGCCACCATCACAGCAGTGGGTGTAGCGAGCCCGAGCGCGCAGGGGCACGCTATAACGAGTACAGAGATGCCGAACTGTAGGGCCAGCTCGAAGTAGGTCATCCCCTGGGGTAACCACGACGAGGGCATCGCGCCGGTGTACCCGGTAATTAGCCAGATGGTGAAGGTGACTAGTGCAATAATGACCACCTGGTGGGGGTAGGGGAGGGGATAGGGGAGGGGAGGGAGGGGGTTGGGTGGGTGTGTTAGAGGAGGGATAAGCAAGGAGAATCAGAGGAGGGAGGGGACAACAACAGCAACACATACACCCACTCACAGCCACTATCCCGATTCCTGACATGTCACAGCATCACTCCTGCTTCACCACAACAGCCACAGCACCTTTACACCGCACCACCCAACCCAGTACTTGGAAACAAATACTGCCCACATTCCCTGCAACCACTCACCGTGGGAACAAATATCGCAGATATTCTATCAGCCACGCGTTGGATGGGAGCTTTCGCCATCTGTGCCGCCTCCACCAGCTGCACGATCTGCGCCAGTGCCGTGTCCCCGCCCACCCGGGTGGCGTGCACGTGGATGCTGCCTGCGAGGTTGAGCGTGCCCCCTATCACAGGGGAGTCGAGCTGCTTTAATACGGGGCGAGACTCGCCCGTTATCATGCTCTCGTTCACGTAGCTGGGGGGGGTGGGGGGGGGGGGGAAGGGAGTGGGTGGGGTTGCAGGGGAATGGAAGGGATAAGTGAACAGAGGACTTTCCTCCGAGTCTGGATCTCCAAGTGAGGGGAATACATACACTCATGTGTGGCCCCGCACACATTCTGAGACATCTCAAGACGCATACTGTCCTCATGCCATCCTTGTATGGACTTGAAAAGACTTCACCGCAACAGCATACTCACGTTTGCCCCACACCACAACACCGTCCGTGGGGATCTTGGCTCCTGGCACCACGGCACACGCAGGCTCTCAGCCTACTCGTTTCTCTCACTTCACATGTCAAACCCAGGGTCAGAGAAAGCACTCACGTTTGCCCCCACACCACGACACCGTCCGTGGGGATCTTGGCTCCTGGCACCACTCGAATGATGTCCCCCCTCTGAATCAACGCTGCCTCGATCTCCCTCTCCCCCACCACCCTCATCTCTCCGCCCTTCCCCTCCTTCCCCACTTTTTCCTCTTCCTCCTTTCCAGCCTTACCTTCCTGCCCACCCAGCTCATACCCCCTCTTCTCCTCCCCTGCGATCAACCCCCTCGCCTCCTCTCCCGTCTCTTTCTCCCCCTCCTCCTCCCCACGCACCCTCCCACCTATCCCCCCTCCCTTTCCTCCTCCTCCTCCTCCTGACTTTCCCGCTGCAGAAGCATCTGTAGCACCGGTAGCGGCACACTCGAAGCTCATATCATATTTAACCATTTCCATCCCACGATCCCCTTCCATCAACGTCATCATAACCTCTTTCTCCAAGCACGAATCAACAGACGCCACGTCAGACTTGAAGCTGAAACCGACCTGGCGCGTCGAATCAAAGAGCGCCACGTCATCCGACTGGAAGCTGTAGTCAATTTCTTGCATGGCGCCACCACGTGTGAAGCTACTGCCATCCCTGTAGGTACTGCTGTCCCTGCTCGGGCTCATACAACCATACCCGTTGCTGCCGCTGCTAGCACTGGTAACCACAGCACGGGTAGGGTTACCAGCACCGGCAACCGTCGCAGCACCACCACCACCACCACCGTTACACTTTTCAACCCCAATCTCCGTACTCTTCCCTCCCTTCCCTCCTCCTCCTCCCTCCTCTTCCCCCTCCCCCTCCTCCCCATACGCCACCTCTAGCAGTGTGGCAGTGTCAGGAGCCAGCTTCAGCAGCTTCCCTATGGCATCGCTCGTCTTGCCCCTCGCCACAGCTTCCAGGTACTTTCCCAGCATGATGAATGAGATCAGCAGCGCACTCGTCTCGAAAAAGTCGATCCCAGCGTACGCGTATGTGAATGTGACTGGCATTTCCTCCTCTCCTGCTGCTCCTCCTTCGCCTCCTCCTGTTGCTGCTGCTGCTGCTGCTCCTGCTGCTCCCTCCCCTTGGCTTTGCGTTGAATTTGCAGTTGTATTAGCACCAGCAGCAGCTGGTGCTGCTGGTGCTGCTGGTGCAGCTGTCCCTGCTGCTGCAGCCGCTCCTCCTGCTGCCACCTCTTGAGCCATCCTCCCCTGCGCCGGTACCAATGCCGACTCAGGAAAAGCAGCACGGGAAGAACCGGTTTCAGGAAAACCCTCGCTCCTGCTGTTCACGCTTTCAGGAAGACCGTGGCTCCTGCTGTTCATGCGCCCAATCCACTCCCACGTACCCACCTCCCCGGCATAATCCCCGCCAGCTCTGGTCCCATATGCAGGGCTGCTGCTCCCGCCTGCATTACCAGCAGTGCTGGCTGCCGCAACAGGCACGCCCTGAAATCCGGCTAGAGCAGATGATTCCATTTTACTAGCAGGGGAATTCCACCACGTGTTAGTTCCAGTGTAATCCGGGAGCAGCAGTAGCAGCAGCAGCAGCAGCGGCAGCGGCAGCGGCAGCGGCGGCAGCGGCGGCGGCAGCAGCAGGAGCAGGCGGAGGAACAGGAAGAGGAGGAGGAAGAGGAGGAGGAGGAGGAGAAGCAGAGGGGGGAGCTAGCTCCGTGGGCGGGGTGACAGCAGAGGCGATGAGGATGAAGAAGGAGTAGAAGAAGGCAGCGTTGGTGCCGAGGGACACGAGCACGTCCATGTTGGCGGAGCGGCGCTTGAGCGCGTGGAAGGCACCCGCGTGGAAGCGCCACCCGATGATGAACTGCACTGGGATGGTGAGTAGACAGCGCGATAGGACGCCCACTGTGAGGCTGCGGGAGGGGGGGTGGGGGGGTAGCAGCGGGGGTGAGGAAGATGGAAGGGGAGAGGAGTAAGAAGGGGAAAAGAGGAAGTGAGAGGGATACACACACGCCCGCGCGTACACACACACGCACACAGTCACACACGCACGTGCACGCACAGAGAATAACTCACCAGTTGACTATCCGGTACATGAGCCACTCGTCGAACGGCGGGATCCTATCCAGCACCATGGCCAGCAGAAACACCGGCACGGAAAACACCAAGCTCCAAATAAACTGCCGCCGAAGCTTCCCTATCTCCTTCCTTCTCTGCCTCGACCCCGCACTCCCCCCCACGCCTCCCCCTTCCCTATCCGCCAAGTCGACCTTTTCCAGCCGTCCCGTTTGGACCAGCCCTGAGTGTAGAGCCTCTAGGAGAGTTCTGGGTCCGCTTATATCGGGGTTGAAAGAGACTGTGACGTGTTGGCTGGGGGTGCTGACTGCTGCAGCGGAAACGCCTGGGAGGAGGCAGAGGGACGCTTCGATGAAGGTGGGGAGGGGGAGGGCGGCGAGCGCGGGGGAGAACGGGGAGGCGGAGAGAAAGGGGGAGGGGGGGGCGGAGAGGGCGGCGGGGGAAGAGGGCGGAGCGGAGGGGGCCTTTCTCCTCCTACCAGAAGAGGAAAGCGAGCTGCGTGTCCTGTTAACTGAAGCGGAAGGAGTCCCGCTGCTCGTGCCCTTGGCAGACGCGGCGGAGAGTTTAGTAGCTTCGGTTCCTGACTGGGATGAGCCGGCTGCTACGGCCGACGCGAGCCCCTTAAGTTGGAAGCGCACCGCTGGTGCTGCGAACCCGCGGGGCCCGCGGAACCCGCGGAATTGGCGGAGTTGGCGGAATTGACAGAAGCGGAGGGGGGATCGAAGAGAAGGTTCGCGGAAGGGAAGCCCGCGTTGTGGATGACCGTGAGGAGCGCCGCTGGCGAGAGTGGCGCGGGGTGAGCGGAAGCGGCGGAGGCGGGGGCAGCGGGGGAAGCGGGGGAAGCGCCGGGCGAGACGGGGGAAGCGGGCGCGGGGGAAGGGGAGACGGAGTACACAACGTGGGCTTCCAAGTCAACGTCGCAGACACCCAAGACGTCGTCGGAATCAGCTTGCTTGCTACCGCCGCCGCCGCCGCCGCCGCCGCCGCCGCCGCCGCCGCCGCTGCTGCCGTTGAAGGCGGGCATGCGACTCCATGTTACCGACGCGGCGAGCACGCCAGGGGTCGCTTGAAGCGCGCGCTCCAGCAGCGTGGCTGGATCCGCTCGATCCGCGGCGTCCCCGCTGCTGCTGCTGCTGCTGCTGATGGCGGCATCCCCATCCCCCGCTGCGGCGGCTGCTGCTGCTGCCAGATCCGCGGACACCGCCGGCACGCGGAAGCGGATTGCGCGCGCTCCGCCCATCGACTTGGGTAGCCCTCCCGCCGCCGCCGCCGCCGTTGCCGCGTGCGCGTCGCCCGCGGCGGCGTTGCTGGCGTTTCCCGCATGCCCGTCGCCGCCGCCGCCGCCGCTGCCTGCGGCGCCGCCGGACACGGCGAGCACGGTGCGGGAGATGATGCTGGCGTCGAATCCCGCGTCCTCGACTGCACTCGCTACTTCGTCCTCCTGTTACAGTCACGAGGCGCACGAGGCGCGCGACACGACACAGAATGATCAGAATGAGACAAATACCACAATTGGGCGATAACCATAACAGAGACTGATGAGATGGTGTGTATTCAAGCGGTAATAATGTGTGCTCTTGCGGCAAGGCTGAAAGGGACTCAAGAAATTTAGCAATGAATGCGGCGCGCGGAAAGGATTGAGTGGCGCTCCAATTGCCCCTGCGCAAATGCTCCGCGCCGGCTCCCTCGCGAGGTCGCGCAGCGACGGCGGCGGCGGCGGCGGCGGCACGGGCGGCACTCACATTCATCAGCGAGGAGTCGAAGGTGACTTTAGCGCGCTCGCTTATAACGGAGACCGTCGCATTCGACACGCCGTCGAGGCGCAGAAGCGCCTTCTCGATGGACGCGGCGCAGGCGGCGCAAGACATCCCGCCAACCGCGAGAAGGACCTCCGCCGTCGCAGGCGCAACGTCGCCACTGCGGCGGCTTCCGCCTTCTCCCCCGCTGCCATCGGTCGCGGCGGCTTCCGCGTCGGGGGATGTGAAAGCTACGCCCGCCGCCGCAGAGGTCGGCTCCACGCCGGCGCCGGCGGGACCCAGCTCCGCCTCACGGGAAACGAGCGGAGCGGACGACGATCCGCCCTGAGCTCCGCGCGGCGGCAGACGGCCTTTCGGCGTGAATAACGCGCACTGGAGAAGCTCCAACACGCCCTGCTGGCGGCGACGGCGCGGGGGCGCCGGCGGAGGCGGAGGATCCGCACCGCTTTCCGCCGTCATCATCCCTGCGGCGGCGAGTCTCCGCGCGCGTGTAGTATGAGATTCCGATTCCGCTCTTTTCACTCGACCCTTTTCACTCCGCTCACCTTGCTGCACTCCAGAGTCGTCTCGTGAAGTAGGCGTCTCTCAGTGATGTCAGCTCGATATCGAGTAACTGATGTAGTAGCAGCAGCGGCACTAACACCCATGCACTGGTAGCTGAGGCAAGCTAAAGCCGCCCCGCCGCCGCCGCCGCCACACACGTGCTAAGCACGTGGCGTCTCGTCCGAGTACGAGCTTTTGACCAGTCTCGATCCGAATGGAAAGTTGCGGCAGCGCTTGTGATCGAGGGTACTAACGCTGAATGTGCTTCTTCGAGAAAATTCAAAATGCACTACCAACAAGTGAACGCCCATGCGAGCCTGAGGTATCGTGAAGAAAATGCTAACAACGAAATGAGGGTTTTGTGGGCGCTGGAAGATCTGGTTACTGAGGATATATGCGTAGGTACAAGGGAAATGTGAGAGAGTGAAGGCAGTGTCCGTGAGCTTCATTCATATCAGTGCTTCCGGGAGTGACGCCATTTTCCGGTCTAGCGAGTTTACCCTGTCCTGTAACCTGCCATCGTTGCTTCGCGTACTTCGCAAACATTCTTAGCTCCCCTCGCGTGGCTCCCGCCTGCTTTTGACTTCTGGTTAGGTTACCGGATTTCTCCGGTACTGCGAAATAATTCGGGACTTGCGAACTTGAGAAGGCGGTCTAGTGAAGCACTGCTACCCCGGTAAGCCGCTCTAGGTGATTGTATGGCGGCTTGCTGGCGTGGCTTAGCGTGTGTACGACATCGCACACTCGCGACATGGAAAATGCGGCTGGTTTTACGGTCGCAAGCGATCGCTTGATTGCTTGCTTTGTCTGTCGTCGAGCGCAGGATCCGCGTTACGGGTGTGGGCCGAACCAGCCAGCCAATCACGGAGCCCAGTGCAACGACAAGCCCAATGAGCGAAGGTGACAGCCCAACGAATGTGAAAGGCGCAGCGAGTCATGGACAACGCGGGTCGATAAAACCAAGGGCTGGGGTTAGGTGATATCTTGAGGAGGGTGGTACAGTAGGGAAGGACGATCTGCTGTTGCGACGCGGAGTGGATCTGGATGACCAAAAAGGGTCAAGATAAGGGTCCACTATGAGCAAGAAAAAAACAACTGTGCGAACGAGGAGGGAATGCGGGAAAGGATCGCACGCACTCCTGTTGGCGAGAGAGCGCCACTCCGTGTGCGTCAACGGATTTTCAAGCAGGGCAACCATGTTCTGAGTGTGCGACATTGCACGACCGAATTTACAGATGGTTGCTCAAATCCCGTCGTCTAGAGTCGCCTGGATTACAAGGGAAAAAGGGCAAGTGCTTATGACATAATTTCTATGCCCGTACATTTTCTTCCAACCAGCAAATGTCATAACTGTTATGTGTGATTAGGGCGATTAGATAACTACAGCCCTTGATACCACGCAAGAGACGGTACTGTACAGCCCTTGGTGGTGCTGTGCTGCAAATGAAAGGGAAGAAAAGAAGGGCTGGAAGGGCGCGTTGGTCACGGGAGGGGCTGAAACTGGGGCTAGGTGGCTGCATTTCCCCAGTTTGCTGGTTTCGGGTTCGCCCTTGGAGAGGGCGAGGTTGGTGCGGCGGCGTGTGTTCCCGCGTGTGGTGGTCCGGCTGATGTGGTCGTGTGGTCGGTGTTGCTTCACATGGAAGTGCGCTGGCAGTCGTGTTCCCCACTAGTGAACCTTGACTGCAGGCAACGCCCGCGCAAGCAACGTCAGCCGTACGAGCTTGGTTGAGCCTAGGTTGGTGAACCTGCCACGCTGGCATCAAAACAGCCGTCGATTGGCTCGGCAGGCAGGTTGCTCCTATACAATTGGCCAGATCGTACAACGGATGCAGCAGACTTGTCCAAAGCCCAACGCAACACATTCACCAAGAATCGTACGTGTACAATACATCTCGCAAATGGTCTCAACTTTCAAGGTGGATAGCAGTACGGTACGTCAGCCAGGCACGCACCGCAGTTGAGCTGCGTACGTTACGCATTTCGCACGCGATGCCTCGTTCGCGTACCCACCATTCCATTTGGCAGCTGCCAGAGCTGATGAACTTCGGACGAAGGTTCTGGCAAAAAATGCGTTGTAATGTACATCGAATACACCACTGGGACACGAGGGCCACAAGGCCAATATGGATATAAATAAAATAGAACTAGTTCAGTACATTGATCAAGATCCAAACAGTGAGGACCCGCAGGGTCAACCGAGCTGTGTGATGAATTACAGGTGATCACAAGGTGAAAGCTCCTTGGTGAATATGTTAGCGGTGCTGGCACCTGAAGCCGAATGTACTACACGTGCTTGGCTGGGAAGCTGCAACTCGCGTAGCGGAAAGTATCGAACATGGGTGTGCTTTGTTTCGCCTTCCAATCTAGTTTGCTGACATAGGAGGACAATAGTCATGTTATCAACGAATGGGACAGGGGTAAACTTAGGCAGCTCTTATAAGCTAGTGAGCAAGAACGACAACCAGCAAAGCTTCTAAGCAGCCATAGCACAAATGTAAATTGTTGCCTCGCAGCTGGACAAAGCCATTGACGGACGACGAGCGAGTACATCTCCACGAGACAGCTCCGGCGCCAAGACCGAATCAGCAGCTCTGAGAGGTCAGACTGTTGCCATACTGACAGCTCCATCTATATTATTTGCACTCGCCCATACCTCACGTATCCTTTTAGCATCCTTCCTCGAATTGTTGTGACTAGGAAATACCGATTCAGGCACTAGTCGGCTATTAACAGGGTGTTGCACTAGTTGGCTTGTACATCAGGCATATGGCTTGCACGTGGAGGACGGCAACTAGAGTCACTAGACACATTGACGCTTGGTAGGCCAACGGCATAGAGAGACTCTCCGACCCGCTCAAGGCTTTAGTATTGTCGCCGGAGCTGTCTTGTAGAGGTCGGCTTGTCGTCGTCGCTAGCACAGTCCAGTTACGAGGTAAAGATCTATGCTTGTGCTATGGCTGTTTAGGAGCTTTGCTGGTTGATGTTCTTGCCCACTGACTTATGTGAGACGCCTAGCTTTGCCCCGGTCCTGTTCGCTAATAACAGTATTATGATCCTCGTGTGTCTGGAGCCTACACTGCAGGGCAGAGCAATGCACATCCAAATGCAGTACTTCTTGTTACGTGAGTAGTACAGCACGATCAGGCACGTCTAGTATACTTAACCTGAGGGGCTAACAACGTTGATGTATTCACGAAGGTGCTCCAGCCTTATGATTATTAGCAGCTTTGCATGCAGCTTGGCCTTGTTTCAACAGATTCTCACTTGCTAGTTTCTTGATCTCTAAACCCTTAAACAATTTTTAAGTTTGTCTATACAGTATCAATATGCTCTTTGCCTGCCCTTGTGGCCATTCGAATCAGAGTTTGGGCTAATCGTACCATCGTGAGTTGTACCTCATACTCGGTATTACTCTTGCTGCTTGGCCTTGTGGTAGGTGTGTGATCTAGTAGTGTAGACCTAAGTTGTTTCTCCTCTTCTCGGTATTGCTTCTTTGCCTAGCCTATGCGATTTGTCAAAGTACACAGCTATATTTCAAGTGTTTAGGTTGATTACGGTAGGCTAGCTAAGGATGTGCATGTTTTAGGTTACTACATGCACCTACTCTGTATGATCAATGTAATCTGTTGTTCTCATTCTATAGTTTGACTCGGTTGTGCAATTTAAAGCCCGCGGCCCAAATTGCGGACCGCGCGGGTCAAGTTTTTAAAACTTGACGAAGTTGGTTCTGCAAGCTTTTGAAAAGAAGCGCGGCTGCAATTTGGGACTTTCGGGTCTCACACACTCACACCAGTGTAAACACTAGGGGCTGGCTGGGTTTGGCGAAAAAAACGACTTGAACGAAATCAGTAACGCTCGCCAAAACCCAACCCAGTAAAACTCCCCTCCCGTCAACTTTTTAAAACATGTGCAATTTGGGCTGCCGGCTTTAAGGGTTGCGCTTGAGAGATATTCTTTTTTAGACGTTTCGCTAATGATTGGATAAGCATCAGACTCTTGTCGCTTGACTATACTATGCATTCTTAATAAGAAACTAATTTTTGTATGTGTGTGTGTGTGTGTGAGAGAGAGAGAGAGAGAGAGAGAGAGAGAGAGAGAGAGAGAGAGAGAGAGAGAGAGAGAGAGAGGGACGGAGACAGAGAGAGAGAGTATGCGTGCGTGTGCGTCCGCATCTACGTATATGCGTGTGCGTGCATGTGTGTGGGTCTCTTGATTGTTTCTGTATGTGTGTGTGTGTGTGTATGTGTGTGTATCTGTGTATGTGTGTATATATGTGTGTGTGTGTATTTGTATGTGTTTGTGTGTGTGTGTGTGTGTGTGTGTGTGTGTGTGTGTGTGTGTGTGTGTGTGTGTGTGTGTGTGTGTGTGTGTGTGTGTGTGTGTGTGGTGTGTGTGTGTGTGTGTGTGTGTGTGTGTGTGTGTGTGTGTGTGTGTGTGTGTGTGTGTGTGTGTGTATGTGCGCGTTTGAACGATCTGAGATACCCCCATATGTAGTAAAACCACAACCAATGATCGTCGCCCTGATCTTTTACCAATGTAGACTTCTGCACTCAGGGTGCATTCCAGTGAGTCGCGCCATCGCGTCACAAACAGAGAATGTACCGCGACGTAGGGCGACAGATTGGCAGGTACAGTAGGACACTTTTCATTGGCTGTGATCAAAGATAACTGTACAGTTGTGTGGATTTGATTGGGTGACAAGTACACCCGTTTTTTAAACCTCTGTGCAGGGCCGCGGTTTAGATGCGCAGGGATTTTTATTTCTCGCGAAATTGGCATTTTCGGGTGCCCAAGTGCATGTGGTCGTGTCGGGCATTTCGAGTCGCGTGCGATTTTCTATCAATGACGGGTCGTTTCGCAGTTCGTCAGCGACGTCAGCGCGTTTCACGCTGACCAATAAAAAATACAGTAGAAGTCGCTGAAAGGCGAATCTCATTTGGGACACAGCAAAGTTTATGTTGTTTTTGGGTGTCACAAAGTGATTGAGGCACAAGTGTCCCCACAGGAATACACCCTAAAAACAAAACGGGATGCGGTCGAAACCTCAAGCAGCCCTCGCGTGACCAGCAAAACCACTCTCAAATCACGTCGCCTGGCCAGCAAGCCGTCTGGCATCCCGATCCAGCTCGTTCCCGCATAACGAGTGATCCGCGTATGCTAATTTGTAATGCGATTATAAGCATGGCGTGAGGCGAAAAGCACGAATTCTCACTCGAAACTGACGTGCGAGCGCAAGCGGAAGAGGACGCTGCGGCGGCGGAACGGGGGCAGTTCCCGCCGAACCGCTTTTCGCGGAAGCGGAGTGAAAGCAAATTAATGCGCGGACGGGGTTTGCACGGACACGGGGTGCGCCAATTAAGTATGCGCGGGCCGAGTATCTGGGTGTTCGCTCGCCTTTGAGGCGCCTCATAGGACCGAGTTTGCGCCGACAGGGTGTGCGCGGGCATGGCGCGGGCGTCGGATCCGCGGACGACCGGCGGAAGCGAGTCGAGTGACGAGGAGGGGGAAGGAGCGGGGGGATTAATGGGGCCTTTGGGGAGAATAGGCCTAGGGGAAGAGGGGGAGGACGAGAGCTCCGCGGAAGATAGAGAGGATACGGGGGGCGCGGAGGCAGCGGAAGGCGCGGAGGTCGCGAAGGAGGGTCGCAGGCGGCGGAACGCGAGGGGCGGCGGAGCGGGCGTGGGCCCCGTCGCGCCTCCGCCAAGCGCCATGCGCGAGGGCGGGGGGGATGGGCGGCGGAAGGAGGGGGAAGCGGCGGAAGGAAGCGGGGGGTTTCATGGAGAGGCGCTGTCAGAGAGCGGGGAGGAAGGAGAGGGGAACCGGGAGGGGAGCGGGGAGGGGGAGCGGGGAGGAGGGGAGGGGGAGGGGGAAGGGGGAATGCGCGGAGGAGTGGTGCATGTGGGTTACCAGCCCTTGAACAGGTACGAACTATCCGCGCATCCCCTAAACATATTCGTGGTTTTCCAGCCCTTAAACCGCTCTTAAACCCTTTCAACCATTTCGAAACCCTTTCTCCCCTGCAGCTCTATCCCCCCTCTGCTTGCGCGCCAAGCGCCCTCCCGAGCCCTCTCCTTCCACCTGGCTTGCACTGCATACCCCTCGTCGCTTCTGTACCTTTCCCTTTCCTTTCCTTGTTTTCCCTCTCCTTTCGCCTCTTTCCCTCCCAGCTCTATCCACCCTCTCCTCGTGCGCCAGGTGCCTCACAGAGCATCTTCTTCAGGCTCCCTTTTATTCCCCCCCTCGTGCTCTTTACTCTTCTCTCTATTCCCCTTCCCTACCTCTCCCCTGCAGCGCCATCCCCCCTCTGCTCGTGCGCCAGGTGCCTTCCCAAGGCCTCTCCTTCCAGCTCTGGCCTGCTGCTGAAGCGCTCTGCCACTTCCTGGAAGCTTCCTTCGGACCCTGCCCCAGTCAATCCCCCCTTGCACAGCATCGACAAGAGCAGCAGGCGCAGCAAAAGCAAGTGCGGCAGCCGCAGGAGCAGCAACAGGAGCAGAACGAGCAGAAGCAGCAACAGCAGGCGCAGCAGCAGCGGGAGCAGAAGCAGGAACAGCAGCAGCGACAGGTGGGGGAGGAGACAGATACAGAGACAGGGACAGAGGAGCCTCACTTACAGGAGGGTGAAGTCGAGAAGGAGCAGAGGGAACAAAACACAGGTAGCAAGAAAGGGCGCTATCGGCAACTCAAGCACGATCAGCGGGCCAACACAGAACCCAAGTTCCTGTCACCGCTGCTGCAGCAAATTCAGAAGCAGAGGCGAGAGAAGCAGGGAGAGTGCGGTCTGCAGGGGTTGAGAGTGGTGGAGCTGGGTGCAGGGACGGGTCTGGCTGGTATGATGGCAGCGGCACTAGGTGCGAAGCAGGTGGTTCTTACAGACCTACCCCATGTGCTGCCGAACCTTCAGAAAAACGTGCAGCTCAATGCAGGTTCGTTTGAGCCGAAGCAAAAGGCACGGCAGGTGAATGCTACGGGCCTACCCCGTGTGATACCGAACGAGCAGGGGATCGCGGAGGTGAGCTCAGGTGGCAGGAGTGGTAATGGTGGTGGTGACATGGATAGTGGCGCATCGGAGTACGATCATGAGGGGGAAGAAAGGGTGGATGTACAGGGAGAAAGAGTGGAGGTGCGGGTGTTGCGATGGGGTGAGCCAGAGGATATTGCAGTGCTTGAAAAGGAATACAGGATGGGCCAACGGTGCACTGAACCGTTGCCAGGTTCGGATGGGCTGGATACTAATGTGCCGCACCTGGAGGTGTGGGCTTCGGAGGTGCGGGATTTGGAGAAGCGGAGTTTGGATTCTTCTGCGCCGCTGTTTGACGTTGTTTTGGGTGCGGATATTGTGTATTACGACACTCTCTATGAGCCGCTCGCAAAGACGCTCTTGTTGTTAGCAGGCAAGGCGCAGGTTCAAGGGCGGGGTACTGGAAGTGGTCGACAGTGTGTGGTTTTGCTTGCTCATATGAGGCGGTGGAAGAAAGATAGCAAGTTTTTCCGAATGGTGGGGAAGCATTTTCATGTGAATCTGGTGTATGAGCATCCGGCTCCTGAGGGGTGTCGCAGCGGCGTGAAGGTTTACGAGCTTGTGCCATTGTGATTCTTATTGGTTTAAGTACGTGTGGCGTTGCACCTTCTCCAACCAACCAATAGTCGAACAGGTTACGAGATGATTAAAAATAATTTATAGTTACACTTCAACACAATGGATGCATCTCATAAACATAACAAAGTTGAGAGGTGTAGACGACATGCCCATTCCCCAGTAACTTCCAGCTTTCTCCCTGTCAGCTCGACCACATTCAGCTGACTGACATGTGCCATCAACTGCCTCATGCCCCTGGCGTGTGCCCCTCGGCTCGGCAAGAACACACGGAATGAGGAAGGGAATCTCCGTACAAACAAATTTCACAGCGTCGAAAGAGTTGTTTCTTCATGACATGATGCTTTGAAGCCTTCTCTTCGAGCTTGCTCTTTCCACGCACACATCAGCTCCCACGATCTTTAGCTAGATTACCTGACTCGCTTCACTTTCAACAAAGCATCTTTCATTCTACCGCTTTGGTTTCGTACGGGAGATTACAGTGGCTCGGACTGCTGTTCCGATTTGCGCGCTGGAATTTGCGTAGAAATGGCGAGTGCCTTCGTAGCCATGTTTACGCAAGAAGGAGCTTTCGCACGGCTGCTCCAGTTCGCAATATTACCCGTCGCCAAAGTTCTCATCATGTGCTCTTTAGGCCTACTTATGGCTACAGACTACGTCGGAATCCTCTCAGCAGAGAACCGAAAGATCCTAAGCAAGGTCTGGTCGTGCCTCATCTTCTCTTCATATCAGATCAAGGACCAGGCCACGTGCTGTTTCATTCTTTCTGTAGCACCCAGATCTTTTACCTACGGTCAGGTGATACCAAATTCTTAACGCGACTGTATTGTTGGATGCGTGTGAGCAGCTTGTCTTCACGCTCTTTCTTCCATGCCTGATCTTCACGCAGTTGGGTGCAGCCGTGACGTGGCAAAAGCTCACGGAGTGGTAATATCATGACAGGCGACGACGATCCGTTGCAAATACTATACCATTCTGGCTGGTACGATGTCCCTTAATCATGCTATTTTCCCCTGTGCAGGTGGTTTATTCCAGTGAATGTGTTTCTTGGTGCTGTTGTGGGATGCACCATAGGCCTGATCGTGGCTCTAATCATCAGGCCGCCCCCTCAATACTTCAAGTTTACCATCGTCATGATTGGCATAGGTGAGTATCTGATTGTCCCTCTTATTAATAGTCTTTTTTGTGGGCCCCTTCCATGACATCGTGTGAGGATCGTGTCTTTATGAGCGACACGTTCTTTGTTTTTTACTCCAGGGAACATCGGGAATATCCCACTGGTTCTGATCGGCGCAATTTGTAGGGAGAAGACTAATCCCTTTGGCACGCCGACCGTGTGTAACGAGTCAGGAGTCGCATACATCTCGTTTGGGCAGTGGGTAAGTTGGAAAGAATCGTCCGTCAGATTTGCAGGCTTGCAGATTTTCTCACCACGGCTAAGCTGGAGTGGTGATCTCTGCGATTCTTCTGTGCAGGTTGGAGCTCTAATCGTTTACACCTTCGTGTATGCTATGCTCGCTCCACCAAAAGATGCTGAGAAGCTTGAAACCACCACCAGCGGCGACCAAAGTGCTTACAGCCAGCTTCCTGCAAACGCGACTCAAGAGGCAGAGAGTAAACCTGACTTTGACGGAAGTGGCATTCAGGAGGTGAAACCTGATGAGGGGAAACTTTTGGAAAAAAGTGCTGACTTATCAGACGGATTTCCTCAGACCAGCTTCTTGAGAGCATCCAATTCGCAGGTGTGGGCTCTACGTCGATTCTTATTCCTTGGGTGATGGCCTTGGTTCTTTAATGTTTAGCGAGCATGTTTTCTGTGTGCAGCGCCTCAAGATAATATGGACAGTCATGGAGAAGCTTCACATTATTGATATTTTCCAACCACCGGTGGTGGCATCTGTGAGTCCAGTTGTCTACCTATCATCACCACCTTCATTCAACAGCTACATGTCCGTTTGCGATTCTTGTATATTCTCTTCACACACGTAGCACTTCTTTTTGCCCTTCCATAACAATCTTGTGTTCCTCTGTTGCTCCCCATGCATGCTTGGAACAGCTGCTGGCTTTGATTGTAGGAGCGACCCCACAGCTCAAAGCCATCTTTTTCAACCCTCATTCACCACTACTGTTTCTCCAAGACAGCCTTAACATCTGCGGGTAAGGACATGGAAGGCACATTTCGTTAATATGTTTGCAAGGCTTGGAATACAGAGTATCTTTTTTTTTCTTCTTCTTCTTTTTTTTTTCTGAAGACGCGCTGATGCAGCCTCTGATGATGGTTGCAGGGGTGCAATGGTTCCGTGCGTTATGCTTGTACTTGGTGGAAATCTTGTGAAGGGTGAGTTCTTCGCTACCAGGGGATGCTTCTCTTTGTTGTATTCATCACTGTTTCTATCATTATTCATCACTTTTTTTATAACTCTTTCTCCCTTGATGTTGTCCAACTGCTCACGCTGCAGGTCCTGGAAGTTCAGAGCTTGGAGTTCGCACTACTGTTGCAATCACGCTTGTGCGCCTTCTCATTATACCAGCATCTGGATTGATGCTGGTTCAGACTGCCAAGTCTTTGGGGTATGAACCGAATAAGTTGATTTACATTTTTGTCAATCTGGATCATTGGATGCAGTTAAATCCTACTTCGCTATCCTGCTGTTCCTTTCAGGTTCTTCCCAAAGGACGACTTGATGTTCAATTTTGTGCTGCTGCTACAGCATACCATGCCAACTTCAATTCTCGCAGGTACATCATAGTAGTTCTTTGTCTGCTGCATGCTTAAAACCAGGGTGCACATTCTTCTGAACGGGATTTCAAGGTTTACCTTTGATGTCCCGGTTACTTGGTCCGCGGTGCCAGTGTTTCCCCCTTCCTCCCCAATTTTGTTTCACCCCCTCCCTGCCATTCTGTTTCACCTTCTCCCGCCATTTTGTTACTCCACCCCATCCCTCCATCTCATTTCTTTCCGAGCCCACTATTGTTGCCCTCCCCTCATCCCTTCCCGCCAGCTGGATTGCTGTTCTATTGCTGCTTATCTAACGTTATTTCACCGAATTGCCCTTCCAAAATCTAGTCCGAGCCACGTTAAATGTGTACCGCGGTTTTAACTGTGTCGTTGCCCTAATTTATTGTACTGTATCCATGTTTGTCAGGTGCGGTTGCAACACTTCGTGGCCATGGAGAAAAGGAGGCATCGGCCATTCTATTTTGGGAGCACATTTTCTCAATATGCACAATGGCATTCTGGTTGACAGTTTATTTGAGCTTTTTGAAGTAAAAAAAGCTGTGTTTCATGTAAATATGAAGGCTGCAACCTTCAAGGTTTTCCCTTATCGTTGCCAAAGTTACTGTCCAGGTTGCTCTCTTTTCTACTTGTAGTAGCGTGAGACCATAACGGAGATGAGTGCATGTGCAGGGTGGTGGTGGGGACCACTTGATCAGTTTCTGCTTCCTGCATGCACCTCTTGGCCCGTTAGTGCTGCTTGATCGTAGTTTGGGCGTGTCCAGCGCGTACATTTCGGGGAATTTAGTACCTTCTCACGCCTCGCAGTTCAAAAACACTCATTGTACCGTCATCGCCCGGATATAAGACATATATGTCTTATCTCGTACACGGGCAAAAATGCTTGAGTTATCTTGTAAACGGGATGGTTTAGGGTGTCTTATAAGTCTTATAAATGGAAACTTTTTAAACTACTTAGAAATATTTTCCGTACTTCTTGAAAAAGAGTTCCTCATAATGAGTGTGGATGTTGCGAAGGTACCACTTCGGCAAACACTGCCCGGGTCGCCACGTCATGGAGAACACATGGAGAGGCAAATTTGGTAGGTCCTGGGTCAGCGCGTGGAAGAATTCGCGCTTCGCAAGGGTAAAAATGTACGCGTTATTTCAACTTTCGCTATAATATATTGAAGTTTCGATTATAAGACATATATGTCTTATCTCGTACACACAAATAGGTGTCTTATAATGAGGCTAGCCTGTTTATAAGAGACACCCGTATAGTAGACAACCCCTGTCTACTATTCAACACTGTCTTATATCCGGGCGTTTACGGTACCTAAAAACAAATCCGGGGTGGGTCGAGTCCATAATGGCTGCGCATTCGAGTGCGCGGAATACCCGCCCCCGCGCAAATTTCTACAGTGCTCCGATGTTAGAATAGTAGGCTTAGGAGAAATTAGGTTTTAGGAAGAGAGAGGATGTTTGGCCAAGCAAGAAGGGGTTTGACTATGGAGAGAGTTACAAGAAATAGGGCAAGGGAAGGTGGCCAAGGGGGGTATACCACCAACAATGAAATAGATACTACACTAACTAAGCTAATATGCAGTTATACATAGAAATACAATTTCTGACATCCGAGCGCATGGAAACCGCGTTAACTTGTTCCCTCGTTCGCTCACGAATTCTCGCGCAAGCGAAATTTTCACTCTTGAGCGAAAATTACTGTGGTGGGAAGGACGCAATTCTGTACCCTAGTTCGCGCACATGCTGATTCCAGTAACGTGAGTCAGACGACTCGATGTACGTGCAGGGGTTGTGCCGTCTCGTGAACAAAAACTGATCGTGACTATAATTTCTGTAAAAGGCAGTGTTACAGCCCAAATGTGGTAACCGAGCGGGTTTATGAGCTGTAAATGTACGCGCTGGACATCCCCTTAGGGGGTGTCTAGTAGTGTCCGTGGCTTCTGCTCTTTCCTTGCTGATAAGTTTGTTTGGTTCACCGGCCAATTTTGTTTTCGCGCATGACCGCGCTGAAACGCTACGCACCGAAGCAAAGACGAGACACGTGCAGCGCGAACGAACAAACTGAACACGGCTTCAGAAAGGCCTTAGACTGGAGGGGTTTTGCTGCGTGTGCGAGCTTTGCAGCTGCATTGTAGGATGACTACCGATTGACGCTTCGATTGCAGAGACGGAGACACAGCTGGCCTGAACAACAGGACACGACAGCAGAAGCTGTCTGTGCCTGCGTGGCTGCATGGACGTTTGCCTGCTCTCCTGTCTCAGCCGTAATTGTCAATGAGATTCAGGAACCCATTACTTCTCTAGCCTCTTGACGTAAAACCAACGGCGGGATTCGCTCTTTCGCTTCAGTTCCGCGGCTACAGACCGCTTATGTTTCACGTGCCGACGTGTTCTTGAGTCCGCGATCGCTGTGCGAATAATTGCCTCCTAATCTCGTCGGTAGCACTCTCATTCCAGGTCACTGACCGACAGAAGCTAGACTGTTAAGGGCGCCGGTATTACGCGTCGCTCTATTAGGTGCCTAACACCAGTTAAGAAATTCTGCAGTAAGAGGCATTCCAGGAGGCCTGTCCATCCGTTACTGCTTCCAGCATCCTCAGTCTATCCTGCTTTCGCATTTCTTTCGCTCGGTTCAGGTCCGTCCTTTCACCAAGCTTCGCCTGTAGCAATCGCCAGTCACCAGTGAGAAGTCGCCAATCGCCTGCTTCAATCGCCAATCACACTCTTCGGTCGTAAAAGTCGCTTCTAGTCGCCGCCGCTGTCGCACGCCATGACCCCAGGCCTGATCAACCCAAACCCGAAGCTTCATGAGCGGAAAGCACGGACTGTCACGGAGGCGCGTCCTCCGGTGGCGGAAGGGGAGAGGGAATTAATTGACGCTGCCGAGATTTTTGATATCCTCCTCAAGAAGCCATCTACTCCCTTATCTTTTATGGGAATTATATTCGGAAGCGTAAATTACCATTTATTCTGTATCATTTGGCTTTGTTTTTTCGTTTCGTTTTTATGCTCTCCCAAGCACCCTCTATCAAGATTCGCACTGTATTGCTTCTCACCTGACCTGGCGATCAGTGTGCTCCTTAACCCGCTCCTTTCTTTCCCCTCGCTCCTGTCCTCCCTATGCCGGGCTCTTCCTCCCTATGCCGGGCTCTTCCTCCCTATCCGGCCGCCACTTTCCTCTTCGGCCTCCTCTTTCCTTTCCGGGTTCCTCGCCTTTCCCTTATGAACTCCGTTGCGCACTCGTTGTCTCTCGCGGCTCTCCGGATTCGTGTCTGTGCTCTCCTCGCCTCCCGTCCCCTCCCCTCCCCTCTGCTTTCTTCCCCTCCTATCCTCTTCCTCCCCTCCCCTCCTCTCCCTCCCTCCCCTCCCCTCCCTCCCTCCCTTCTCTCCTCCGCTCGCCCCCCTCTCCTCTCCCCTCCCCTCCCCCCTCTCCTTGCCATGCCTCTCCTCGCCGCTCATTATTGGTGCTTTGTTTCGCCTGACCGCCAGCACAGCACATCCGCGATATAAGCGACCCCGAGCACCCGTACTCGTTAGAGCAGCTGGACGTGGTGAACGAGGAGAACATCGAGTGCGACGACGCAGGCAGCCACATCACGTACGTACGTGCGTGCATGCGTGTAGTGCACTGGTTGGCAGCGCTGCACGTGTGTGTCAGTCAGTCGTTGGTTTCATGTCACAGGTGTGTCATGTCACAGGTGTGTCATGTCACAGGTGTGTCATGTCACAGGTGTGTCATGTCACACGTGTCACAGTTGGGACAAGTCCGTTGGAGCAGCTGGACGTGATTGGCTGGAAATCACCAAGTGCAACGACACAGACAGCTGCCACGTCACGTGTGTGTGGTACATACAGAGTGTGGATATTCTGAGTAGTATATTGAGCCTGAATAGCCGGTACTACTCCAGATGGGTTCAGGCCCTGAATCTCTACCATTCATGCATATCATGTAACATTACCTCTTCTCAAAATACCTCTTAACCCCACCCAACCCATCGCTTACCCACGTGATGGTACCACTCGCTCACTTTACTCCCCGCCTTCCTGCCTTTCGCCCTCCTCTCCCCTTTCCCCCCTCCCCCCATCCCTCTTTCCTGTCCCCTTCCAATTTCTCCGACGCTGCTGCTTTTCTCCCGCGTCCCTCTATCCCTTGATCTGCTCATCTGCTCATCCACTCTCCTCCCTTTCCTTCTTTCCTTGCGCTATTCACTGCGCAGCGTTCGCTTTACCCCTACAGTGCAGCACTGTAGCATGGCAACCCTCATCGGCCTCTCCATACGAGTCAAGCTCATGAGATGCCTGCCCCGAAGATTCAAGGCAAGTCGGGGGAGTTGAGAGCGGTGGAGAGGGTTTGGCGAGGTTTCGGGAGGGTTTAGTGCGCCTTGTTTAGGTCTCTGTTGCAGAATTATTGAATTGCCGTGGGCCATGGTTTGTCGAAACAGCATGGACTATGATTCTCCGAATCACCATGGGCTCGCATCAGCCTGCTTTTGTCAGCATGTTTCCTGCTTGTATCCCTGGCTGCTTTTTGAGCCAGTTTCTTTTGTTTTATCTATTCAATTAATTTGATCTGGTCCAAGTTTAGCGAATCAACCCATATGGTTTATCTTGCCTGTTCTCAGATGTGGTTACCACATTGCTGTCGCCACATTCATGCATGTAGTTACCCTACCACCCGCCTTCTTTTCTCACGTTAACAGGTCGACATTCGGCTATCTCCAGGGTCTCACGCTTCGGAAGCAGAAGGTGCGCATGCCAAATACCCCTGTGTTGAGCCACAGGCTGAGACACAAGGCTATAGTCTACGGCTGAGATGTCATTGGCTGAAATCGAGGGCTTATTAGGAAGGGCCACATGTGTGGCTCGGCCCGAGCCACAGGGGCTGCTATGGCCCATGACCCATGGCAGCTGACGCGCTCCGCACAGCTCAAGGGTTCCTCATTGGCGTATATTTTCTAGGCGCCTAAGAAATAGACGCTCCGCACAGCACAGCGGCCGCTCATTGGCGTGTTTTGAACGCACGAGTGCAGCATGCAGCTTGGCGAGCCACCTTGAGTGAATCGCGAGTCAGAGGAGATGGGCTGCTCCAGCTGATCCCTCATCCTGTTGCTCTCGTCAAGCTGATGCTGACTCATAAGGCTCCATGCATGTTCGCTGGTCTTCACTAGCTCGTTTTGAGAGAACGCTTCTGTTGATAGTACTGTTGCTTCCGTTTGTGGTTAACTCCTTTGTGTTTTCCTGCTGTCTGTGCCGGCCTGTCTGCTTCCTTAAACCTCATTCGCCTCTTCGTCCCCTCCCCGGTATCGGCCCCTCTCCGCCCGTGCGCTCCCCCTGCCCTCTCTGCTCTATGCCATGCAGTGAACAAGCAGCTGAATGACAAGGAGAGGGTAGCAGCAGCTTTCGAGAACCCTATCATGTGTTTTTGGCCCCTTGACACTCATCTGCCGCTCCACCTCCTCCCCTACGCTCATCTACCTCATGCCATGCAGTGAACGCGCAGCTGAATGACAAGGAGAGGGTAGCAGCAGCTCTTGAGAACCCCACCTGTGTTCGGAGTCTTTTCAAACCTCATTGCCTTCTCACGTACTCATTCCCTCCCCTCTCCCTCCCCCCCTCTTGCCTGTCTACCTCATGCCATGCAGTGAACAAGCAGCTGAATGACAAGGAGAGAGTAGCAGCAGCTCTTGAGAACCCTAACCTGTCAGACATGGTTGATCGCTGCCTTGCCCCTTCCATGTGATGTCATGTGTACTCTATGGTACATCTCTTGTTGAGGCAAGTACTGTATAAGAGATCTGTAAACTAGCAATCAAACATGGAACTGTAGACCGGTGCCTTGCCACTTCCATGTGATGTTATGTGGTGTGCTCATGATCTCATGTGTGGTGTATCCTGTTTTCTTGATAGAGTGTTTATGATTGACATGACTAACCGATGCCATCAAAACTATATAACATGACTGCTATACTGATTGGTGCAACAGCAACAACAAAAGTGGAACTAAAATACTGCAGCAGAGCAGACTCAAATTACTCAATAGAACTACAGTAACATCCTACATACCGTAACAGGGCAAGCAAAAATGGCAACACGTTGTGTATGTTGTGTGGGCTGACTCAGAACAGAACCACACCCTAAAACTCTTCCCTTGGAACATTCCTGTTACGGTACTGGTACTTGTCAGCAAGCAGTTCTGAGGCGTGCCCATCATGGTAAGTAGTCACACACCCACATTAGAGTATGGTATCTACAAAGAATTTGATCACTCATCAATCAACCAAAGCTTCATACTCCTGAAGCATTTCGCCTTGTGCATGCTCTCCATGCCACAGTTGTTATGCACCGCAACCAACCGCTCTCGCTGCGCCTCAAACCACTCCCGATTCCCCACCGCCAACCACCCAGGAGGAAACAGCAGTACCGGTAACACCCCAACCGAAGCTCCGTCTTTCTGACTCTCCTCCTTCACCATACGCGCTATGGCTCGGTTCATACAAGCCTGCAGCCCTGTGGTTCGCAGCTTCCCAAACCTGAACCGGAGGCTCGGTCCCGAACCCAAACCTCCGCTGCTGCTACCGCTGCTGGTGGAGGCTTCTTGCGGGCCTGCCCCAATCTCTGCTGCTTTTCTCCTGTGGTTGGAAAAGGCTTGCTTGGCCCAATCTAAAGTGAAATTCTTAGTGGGTGCGGACGGGCGGAGGGCTATTAGCCAGACTGATAGAAAACCCAGCTGCTGCTGGGAAAGCGGTGCGGTGGTGGTAGCAACAGCAGCAGCAGCAGCTGCGGTGGCGGCGGCAGCAGAAGGATTGGCAGAGTCAGAGGTTGGAGTAGGAGAGGAGGAGGTGGGGGAGGCAGAGGTAGGGAGGAGCGCGAGAGACAAAGAGGGGGAGGAGGAAGAGTAGGAGGAGGTGGTTGTGGTGATGAGTGATGGGGATTGGTCTCGGAAGGATGGAAGAACGAGGTTGAAATCAGGGGAGAAGAAGGGGAAGGGGTCTTTCAACCATACGGTGCTGACATCACTGCATGGGAGGGAAGGGAAGGGAGGGGAGGCATGATAGGAACCCGGTGAGGAAGGCAGGAGGTAGAAGCCAGAGAAAGGCAGACACATTTAGAAACACAAAAAAGGGGATGAGGGATGGGGATTGGTCTCGGAAGGAAGGAAGGAAGGAAGTATGAGGTTATAGTCTGGGGAGAAGAAGAGGAAGGGGTCTTTCAACCATACGGTGCTGACATCACTGCATGGGAGGGAAGGGAAGGGGCGGTATGAGAGGAACCAGGAAAGGAAGACAGAGAGGAAGATAGACAGACGGAGGGAAACATTGAAGGACAGGAGGTAGGACACAGAGAAAGGCACAAAGGAAGAGAAAGAAGGAACAGAGTTAAATCCAAAGACGGAACAGAGTTGAATAAGAATCAACAAAAGCAACAAACGTTGACCGGGGGAAGATGGTGTGGGAAGCCTAGGGATTTACTCGAACGCTTTGTGAGTCGAATCGAATGAATCTGAAACTACCGCAGATCAAAGGGCATGGAATGAAACGTGGTATTGAGAGGGAAAACTTGAGAGTATGAACACTCCGCCATGATTGCTGTACATGCTTTCCATCCAATGCCTGATTGCAAGCACAGTGCAAGCCGACATGACTGCTGGAAGGGCCAAGCACACCCGAGATGCACAGGCAGGAGGGAGGTGGGACACCAACCATACCGCACTGCATCAAACCACTCTTTCACCGCATCAAACCGCATCGAACCGCGTCGTACCTGATGATGGTGCCCTGCTCTGCCTGCATGAGCTGAGCTGCCAGGAGGGCTGGAAGGGCCGAGCACACCCGAGACGCATTGGCGGAGGGGACTTGGGCAGGGAAGGGGAGGAGATGGTTGCTGAACCCTGGGATAGACGATGCTACGTCCTGGAGTGGAGTGGAGAGTGTATGAAGAAAAAGGGGAAACGAACAAGGAAAGAGGCAGGGAGATTTGGGGAACCGGAAAGGGAGGAGATGGTTGCTGAAGGCAGGTATTGACGATGCTACGTCCTGGAATGGTGGAACGAGCAACGGGGGGATAGGAGCGATAGGGGAAATAGGGGGAGGGAACAAGGTTAGAGGCAGGAGGGAATAAGGTGTTAGTGAATGGGTGAAGGGGGAGGAGGTGGTTGCTGAATCCAGGGATTGACAATGCCACAGCCTGGAGTGCGAAAGGGGCGAGATGCACACAGAGAGGGAAAGAGCTGGGACAGTGAGGAAAGAGAAGGTGGCTGGTAAGAAAGGGCAGCGGAGCGGAAGGGGAAAGGGAGGTTGCTGAATCCAGGTGGTGTGAAGTGAACAGAGGAAGGTGGGGTGGTTAACAGCTTGACTCCACTCGCAGACCTCCTCCGCTCAGCTCAATCACAAGCCACACTGTTAATCACAGTCAATAACGATGCAGAGCAAACTGGCAGAACGAACAACACAGGCAAGCCAGCTCACCTCCTCTGCCACTGCAGCCACAAATCGCCCGCCAAACCCAAGCAGCGAGATGCCCTTGAGCCAGTTCTGAAACAGGTCGCCCTCCCCTTCACACACCACCACCACTATCACCCACCCGTCCCCCTCCACCCGCCGCGCCTTCCTAGCAACTTCCACGAGATACTCCTTAAGCCATCCCTCTCCTTCAAAGTCTATAGGCAATGCTTCTATCTCCTTCCTCGCTTCCTCCTTCCTCCCCTCCCCCACCCTCCAGAACCCCGCTTGCTGCAACCTCTCCCTTTTCGCATCTTTCCCAGCTATGTAATTCGCATGGATGGTAACCGCCCGGGGCTTTAACGTCTCAAACCTTGTCCAGTTATACGTCATAACGTGCCCGGAAAGGAATTTATTGGGCGGCAGGACCCCGATTTTAGGCGCAATAACTTTCCCATCCACTATGTTTTTTTCCATCTGCCCAATCACCACTTGCATCTGATCCTGGTCTATTCCCCCAGATCGCCCTGTTTTCGCCATCCGAAACGCCCAATCCGCGATGAAAGCCTTAGCGCCAGGTGTGGGACGAACGTAGAGGAAACAGCTACAGTAGATCTTATTTCCGGATAGTAGCTTAAAGGCTCGCATGCACTTGATGCATTAACGAGTACGCTTTCATCCAGAGTCAAGTAGACATCAAAATCCTCCTCCTCTCCCCTTCCACCTGCTCCTCCTGCTCCTTCTGCTCCTCCTGCTGCTGCCCCGATTGCTGCTGCTGCTGTTGCTGCTGTGCCCCCTCCTCCCCTTTCCCCTGACTTCCTTCCTGAGCCACTTTATTCTCCTGCTCCTCTTGCAACTGCCGCTTTTGCCGCCCTTCCTCCTCCCTCTCTGTCCCTGCATCATCTGATACTTCCTCTCCCCTTCCACCGGACTTCCCTGCTCCTCTTCTCCTCCTTCTGCCGTTGCTCCTACCTCCCCCACACCCCCTTCTCCCCCAGCATCTGATTCCACATCCCCTGCAACGTCACTTAGATCTCCCACATCACCCAAATCACTTGCTGCTTCTGCTGCTTCTCCTTCTGCTGCTCCTGCTTTTCTTTTTGCTCTTGCTGCTCTTGCTGCTCCGGCTGCTTCTGCTGCTCCTGCTGCCTCTGCTTTCTTTCGTGCCTTCGCCTTGGCCTTTGCCTTTGCCTCAGCTTCTGCCTTTTGCTTTCTCCTCTAATTTCGCCTTTGCTTCTGCTTCTGCCCTTGCTTGTTCCTCTAATCTTGCCTTTTCTTTCGCCGCCAATTCAGCTTTCCGTTTTTTTCGACCTTCGCTCTCGCAATCCCTACACTCCCCTCCGCTGTAAAAAACGGAATAGGGTTCTGAGCCCACGCTATATCTATATCGCTGTAAAAAACATTAAAGCCGAAGCACAGTAGGTGTAGAATGTACACCGCACGATGCGATGCGACTTTGTGAAAACCAGCATCCCCGTAGAAATGCGCTGACTCAAAATTACTAATTTTTCTCTTCTTGCCCGAACTGCCCTGAAACGGTGCCTATAACGGGGTGAAGGGAAGTTTGGGGCCGGTGGAAGGTGGGAGGGAAGGAGAGGGGGAGGGAGGAGGGAGGAGGGGGGGGGGGAGAGAGGAACGAGGAAGTTGAGGTGAAAATTGAGACGTGTGTGTACAGAGGGAGCACAGGGAGAAAGAGGAAGGTGGGTTTGGCAAGGATACATACACCTGTTCCCCCGCCCAGCCCACCCACCCATCCGCCCACTTTTTGGTGGCGAAGGAAAGGGGAAGAGAGCGCTATAGCGGAGAAATGATCACGAGAAAAAGGCCAGGATTTGGGAGGTTTCAGGAGGAGGAAAATAACTGTCTGCTCTCATAAGGACGTTTTAGATAATAACCCTGCATTCCAGTACACAGACAATAGGCACGGCACACACCACACCTCAGTGCATGAGGAAACCCAGTCCCCAGTGCTATACGCACCTGGCCCGGCCATTTGCTGGTGGCGAAGGCTAGGGCTGTCTGGTCCGCAGCAAATATGATGAAATGGCCGCCCACCCCACCGCCTGCACGTGCCATGCCAGTTCTCCAGCATATCGTTGTA